GCAAAGATCAGCGTAATTACTATCAACTATTCACTTGTACTAAGGACGGTTCTGTATGCTTATGCCATTTGATATAGTAAAACTTGACTTAAATGAAAAAGTTGCATCAAACAGTAATCCAAAACTAAATATATAATTATGTTATTAGCATTACATAACTCATCACATTTAGATATCTCTTAAATAACATTTTGTATACTGCATTTAATTACAATTATTTATTATGCTACCTGCAATTTCCTGCAATTAGTGTTTACGCAAGTTACTTTTATTTTTGTTACTTACGCGTATTAACGCATTACGATAGTAATTGCTACATGCAACAATTAAGAAAAAAAAATTAGCTTACATAAATATTTCAATCCTATTCAGACGTAATACAAATCAAAACTACTAAAGCAGTTATCTTAAATAGGTCTATCGATGTTATGGAAATAAAATTCCTTTTTAGAGTTTTACATAGGATAATGCAGATTACAAACATCATATTCTAAGGAATATGCAAATATACAGCGATATTGTTATTAACAAAATGATATATTGCGTTTTGCCTAAAATTGAACATAGCCTCAGTGATAGTAAATAAATGATATCGTTTATATTTAAACAAGTTGATAGACCAGTGCAATAAGAAACTATTTCTAATTTATGTGACAGTGATACATTCTTCCCTATACTGTATATCATGGGATTGGCAAAGATTTTACAGTATATGCAAGAGTTGTCATTTTTTCATGCATTAAAAATTATTACACTACTCATAACCCAATCGAATAGTATGATAGTTGAAATTATTGGGAAGGAATAACATACGTACAATAGTACCACCATTGATTTGATATTCTAGGAAGGTACTTAGTAAATTGCTATGTATCAAAACTGTGCATGGTAGTACAGTAGTTAACTTTGGTTCTATGCGTTGCAGAAATCTAATTGAAATTATCATAGAACATCAAACAAACGTAGGACAGATATGGTACGTATCAGGTTCACCCTTTGTAATCCTAAATCTCCTACGTAATTGAGTGCATACCATTGTTGACAATTTGTTGGTTCAACGATATCTTAATTAAGCAGCATTATCAATATTATTCGACGTAATAATCCAATCGAATTTTAAAAGCTACTCAAATTACAATCGAATGCTACTAAAAAGAACTTCTGCCTACCTCAAGTCCCTAATGTGCATACGCTGGAATAAATATTAAATAAGTAATCAACGATGTAAATAAATGAAGCTGCGAGCTAGAGCAGTTTTTGATATCAACAAAGAATTTAGATATTTAATCACTTTTGCGTATTTTACTAATGACCTCAGTCTGAATTATCTATCGTCAACGGCTTTAATAATTGAATATTAAGAATTAATTTTGATGTTAAATTTGCTCATCTGCAGCTTATTATTTCCAGATTGATAGGTAAATATCTTATGTTTCCAGAGTTGAACGATGACATTCATGCAAATTTATTAAAAACGCTTGAAAAGGCTGACTATAACTGATGACCTTTCAAGCTTTTTACTGAAATTGAATTTTAATTCCGATAGTAATGAAATAAATTAGATTTCTAGGCCATAAAGACTCTCTTAAATTATTGTTAGTGAAGCGGCAATGGTAACCGTTGTGTTTCCACTCTTAGTCGTTAACGTTAGCACGAGGAACTTTGATACACTCCTACTAGTAAGCTTACTGATCTCTTTTATTTAGGATTTACTGCATTTAAATAGTATAGCTGTAATGGCGTATTATACCCTTATCTTAGTAATTCATTACCTTATCTTATGCTAACACGTTAGGTGCAGTACAACAAGTTACTGTATTCTTACATACATAACAATATCTTTTTTAAAAATAATAATATAGAAACTAATAGATACACGTATTACATAATATTGTACTCTCATCCTTTATTGCAGTAAAGCAGAATTAATTGCGTGAAAGATTGATTGATTGCATGGCTGTACGTGATCATGGTGTAAAAGGTGAATATGTATTTATCGGAATTTCGGAATCAAAAGCTAGTTTCTATTGATAATGATGTAAACGATAATTTTTACAATTACTATCCATATAGCGATCAATCAATGATGGGCAAAATTGAATACCAGTGTGAAACTTCTGATGTCAAATTATAGCTAAGCGATAATGTAAAGATGAATGGTGAAAATGACCGACTGATGATTGCATGTCATACGGTCATAGGTATATCCGAATTGGACCCGGCTTAGTAAAATATTATTCTGCAGCTACTATTTTATTATTAAGTTAACTATACGGAGAAAATTAGCACGGCTAGCAAAGACGATAGGATTATCCTGTATTGAACAAAAGTGGGTAATTATGCCAAATTTGCCGTTGTCAATTTGTCCAACAATTTGATATCACAGTTGTGTACTTAGGTAAGAATTCCCAGGATATTTTTTGCAGTGAAGATGATTAGTAAAAATGGACCAAAGATGAATTAAAAGTGCAATGAGTACCGCAATACCTTAAAAAGTAAAAGGTACTAAAAAATAATAATTATGAAGCTCATCTTTATGGCAATCGGTTCGCCAAAGCAACCATAAATTACGACCACTGCCGGGTCCTAATCATGACTTACAGTATTGGTTGAGTCTTCTGCCCATGAGTCATCGCTTGAAGCCGCGTGTCCTTCTAAAAGACTCATTATTATTATTATTACTATCACTAGAATGATTCACCAATCCTGGGTGCGGTAGGTAACGTGATCATGACGAATCGATCAGGGTGTCGCCACGCGAAACGGTCTACAGTACTGTTCAATACAGGATTGTACTGTACACTGTAGACTGTACGGTACAGTACAGTACACTGTACTGTAAGTTTTGACTTACAGGACAGTAGAGTCTTGAAGTCGGTAAGGACAGCCTGTAGGAAAAGTCTCCAGTACAGTTTTACTGTACTGTACTGTATTTTCTACAGTACAATTCTGTACTGTAGAAAAAAAATCGACATTTGTACTGTACAGTACTGTACTGTAGAAAGGCTTTTGCAGAAGTCGATTTGCTTACTCTCTCAATTTAGTGACTAAAATACTGTACTGTACCTTACTGTACTGTACTGTACGGTACTGTACACTGTACATTACAGTATGTAAGTGTAAACCAGTTCGAATCAGAGTACTTTAAGGTGCCCTAAAATCACGAGAGTGAATCAAAATGTAAAAAAAATTATACGAATATAAAGCTGAATAACTATATGTATAGAATTTTAGGCAAATTTTGCAGCTTTACTACAATTTATTTTGCCTAATAGCACTCTAAAGAAAACTGGCTCACATCGCTGTACAGTGTACAGTACTGTAAGAGTACTGTATTACTACAGTACTAAAATACTGTACTGTACCGTATGTACTGTACTGTAGTTACCGTACTGCACTGTAGTTTCTCGAACCGATACAGTAGTACAGTATTACAGTATACAGTACTATTATACTGCAAGAGTACTGTACAGTATTACTACAGTATATTGGCGAGATTTTTAATACTGTACTATTATTGATAGTTTTCAAAGCTGTGATAACAGTCTGCGTTTTTGAAGAAGCGTTCAAAAAAGGAGCAATTGCCTTTAAGTCAAAGGTGTTCTATCATAATACATCAATTGCTACCTTCTATTTTCTTTCAAATGGCTGACTAAATCAGCTCTTAGCTTTCTCTCAATACTCTACTGTACACTTTCTCAAACTGTTGTTTGACCAACGATTAATCCTGTATCAAGTTAAGTCAGTTTTTACGAGCACTTGAATTAATTATCATTCCAATTTTACGTGACCGATAAATCGAACATCATCATCAAGTATGACCGAAGCAGGTAAGCGATTGTATTCGATTCATGGTTGATACTCCTCCTCTTGCTATTATGATAAAGTAAGCTATCCAAGTTGCACTTACTGTATTGGTAATTAATGGCTAGCGGAAATCGCTTGCTAATGTTATGGTAATTGACACTATGAAAACCGTTAAGAATACACATTTTGGGGCGTAGTTCTCATGCTGCTTAGCAGTACAGTACAGTAGTATTCAATTCCAATACAGAAAGGTGAACGACTTCACTTCATTAGCGACAATCTTAATATTATTACTTACAGTAGTCTACAAGACTTTGAAGCATGGATCATTTACGTATATATAATACAGTACAACAAAATGGTGAGCTGTTGCTTATTTTAGATCGCCATTAATTTTAAATTTTTTTATTTTATATTGCCGATCTTAGATGTGGTCATCAATATATTGTATTGTTAGTGTTAGCGCATCATACTATTCGTACTTTACGATGAATTTATGCCGATAGTTTTTTATTCATTGATGATAGCATACAGTATACGGTGTTATACGCTATAGTGATGGCATCCTTTTCAGTAGTCCCCTACTGTGTATAGCAATATGCGAAAACTTGCGAGAATGCAGATAGCCGTACCAAATTTCAGCCTGGCTACGATCTTTCGAAACTACATATCGGAATGCGCAACAAAGCACTAACCATCAACTTTAACTTTACTTTTAACCTATTACTAAAACCCTCGCTCACGCTTACGTGTTAAATATCCCTGGAAAATTTGCTGCTTAACCTACACAGACATAAACTTCATTCACTTTCCTGTTGAATCTTTGGATTCTTAATGGTGACTTAGATTTTACAGCAGTCAGTTAAATTGTATGTTATGGCATCTGATTTAAGTTTTTAGTACTGTCTTCGTTGTAGCGCGGGCCTACTTGCAAATTTCTAAAGTCATATTCTGACTGTATATCATACGCGCGCATAGTCGTATAGAGTAATGCCCATCATTCATAGTATAATTATGAATGCTGCATAGCAAGAATTATTATAAGATTGATGCCCACAGGAGACTGTACCGTCTTAATTCTAATCATAGTAGGGTTGCAATTACCCACAGGCCTTTACAGTCTGTGATGTCGATTGACTACAAAATGAAACTACTGTAATGTGAATTGTGCATTCTTTTAATTTCTTAAAACAGACACCTCCCGCGCTTTAGCTGTACTCAGCAAGTTTCACAACAAGTTAAAAACTGATGGATTTGAAAGTCATGCCCAGAACCTATCAAAGGTTCGAGACATGTTGCAGCATCCAGTATTTGGCCATCTACTAAATATGCAATCTTCAATGGGTGACATGATAGAAAAGGTTTGTATTTGTACTATACACTAAAAATCCTATTTTGATTATAGTAATTATGATAAACAATCAATAAATGTGCTGACTTTATGTAATAGTACAGTATGGTAATGAATTTGCTTGTAAAAGCATAAGGCATACCGTTACATCGTTGTCATTGTAAATATGCATAATAAGACGAGTTGCGCTTGTTTAATATTAGCTCCGAAAAGTATTGTAAGCATCCCTGCAGTACGTTAATAGTGACGCTTTTCTGCCCTGCAAGTTATAAAATTCAAGTTGTCATCTTAATTTATTACCAGGAGCTAAAGTTCTAATTTAGTTCAAACTACAGAATGTTTATTAAAATCTAGTTCAATTTCAACATACATTTTATGAATTATAGATTAAAGCTAGCGTTGGCCTTGACACTTTATCTGCCAATGGAAACCATCAACCAAATGACTCCTATAGCAATGGTCATGCTAATATAGACCCGGAGAATGAAGCAGTTGAATCCAATCAGATAAAAATGGATGATCACCAAATAGATCCCCACAGGGATGATATACACTCACAAACTTATCCAGAAACATATGAACCTGAACATAACGATAGACCGCAGTATCCTGCCGAAAATGACTATGATCAGGGCAACACTTACCATTCCACAGATGCTTATGAACATGAGGTGAATCAAAGTGATGAAAGGGATTTCACTAATTATGCAGAACATCATGACGAGTATCCACTGCATCACAATGTTGATGACGAACACTTTCAACAGAACCATCCTTACATTGCTGACAATCATGAATATCATGATGAATATCCTCTTCAACACAATGGTGATGACGAACAATTTCAGCAGAGCCATCCTTACGTTGCTGATAACCAGGAAATGCATGGATTATATTCTGAAGATCATGGAGATTATCATACTAACGATATCGAAGCTTCATCTAATTACGATCATTTAATACATGAGGCCCCTATCGTCGATGCTAACTTACAACAGACGGAGGAATTACCAACTCATGAATATGACATAAATAATGATGATGAAGTGCCTTATGGATATGAAACTGACCCACATGCTCTTAACCAAGTGAAATTAGAAAATCACGATGTCCCTGAAAAATATGTTCAATATCAGCAGGCTCAGGAGGATCATAGTCAGCTTGAGCCTCAATATCTAGAATATCAAGAAAATGAATCTGACGCGATAGGACATCATGATAGTCAGCATTTTCTCAGTGAAAATCAACATCAACCTTATGAATTGCATGACAATAATTACAACAACGAATTAGGTGATGAACCCACATCACATATGCCTACAAACATGGCAAATGAAAATAGTGAAGAAATTGAATCAGTACACGGTGAAAATGCAACAGAAGTTAAGGCTGCGAATATGATATTGCCATCTATGGATGATCATGACTTCCAAGAAGCGATGCAAGTTGCTGCCCAAGGTCGAATGATTGAGGTAATAACCTTGCTTAAACCACCAAATGGAAGCCTTGGATTTTCTGTTGTTGGTCTTAACAGTGAAAGTCACGGTGAGCTGGGTATTTTTATACAAGAAATATTTCCGGAAGGAATTGCAGCAGTAGATCGTAGACTGCAAGAAAGCGATCAAATCTTGGCTATCAATAAAATTCGCATAGATAGTGGTATACCTCATCACGAAGCAATAAAACTACTTCAGCAGGCCTCTGGGGAAATCGAATTAGTAATTGCCAGAGGTGAAGGTACCGAATCTCCTAGCTTATCGCGATCTTCTTCAATAATGGAAGATCATATGAATGAAATTCGTCGACGTACATTATCGACGACAAGCGCTTCTTCGCAATTGTCTGCTAATATTCAAAACCGTGATGGACCCAAGTGGCGTCAATTAGAATTAATTACTTTGTATAACGATGGCTCTGGTTTAGGTTGTGGTATAATTGGCGGACGTAATGCTGGTGTTTTAGTAAAGAGCATACTTAAAGGTCTAGCGGCTGATCGAGACCAACGCTTGAGAAGTGGTGATCAGTTACTACAAATCGATGACGTTGCCCTTAAAGGTATGTCCAGTGAGCAAGTAGCAGGCGTTTTTAAACAGTGTACTACTACGGTAAATTTAATAGTTTCCCGCAAGTCATCTTATGAGCCACCACTAGATGGCCGAATTCATTCGACGGTTCCACTAAAGACCTATGACATGTATGTTAATTATACTCCTCAAGATGGAATAGATGTTCTTGTTGGCGGCTACATTGGTGAACAGATAAGTGAACAATTAAATGGCTTATTTGTTATAGGTGCTGCTGACGGTGATATCACATCCATTAGTAGTAAATTAAATAAAAATGATCAAATTGTGAAAGTTAATGGGATAACTGTTGTTGGTGAAAGTGCTCTAACCATTTGCGACTTACTAAGAAATAGTGGCGACAGGATAACGCTTACTATGGCAGATTCTTCACCTGATATACAAGTTGATGCAACTGCTGAAGTACAAAATGAAGCGGTGTCGGAGCGATACGATGAGTTAGCAACTGATATCCAAAATGAACTGATTTCGGATACACCAGCGGTATTACCCCCTGATAGTTATGCTGAGCCAGAGGAAGTGAACACGAATGAACCAGTAAATCTTTTAGAAATGAGACTTGTAGAAGCAGCCCTATCTGGCTTAAAAACTGACGGACGCGTTGATGATGAAACGCTCGAAAAAATGAAAGCCAAATGGCAAGAAAAGATCGGGCTTGATAAAACGATTGTCGTGGCTGAGCTCTGCGACTTTGATCCTGCGGGAGGACTAGGCATCAGCATAGAAGCGAAATCCTTAGATACTGAATCACCAGAACACTTTATACGATCAATTACTGAGAATGGAATTATTGATCGCAATGGCGTGCTAATGGTTTACGATAAACTCCTAGAAGTCAATGGAAATCAAATTTCTGGACTCTCAGATAAGAATGTTATTGAAGTCATTCGTTGTCTGCCATCATACGTCTACATTGTAGCTGCAAGAGAGTTACAACCAATAGAGGAAACAACTGAATTTCAAACTGCTCACCAAGATGAAGCAGCGATTGATTTTTCATTCATGGATGATGAAGATGAAAATGATTCCCGAATACAGCCGCCTGAAATTACTGAATCTACAGATGCACCTATCTCTCGAAATTATCCCATTAATCGAAAAGCTTCTTTAGAACAGTTTGCCACTACAGCAAGATGGAAGGACAAACCAATGGTTATAGAATTGGCTAAAGAAGACCATGGATTAGGTTTCAGTTTGTTAGATTATTTTTCTGTTAACTTAGGCTCCAAGATTATACTAATAAGAAATGTAATAAAAGGCGGAGTAGCTGATACTGACGGAAGGATACAACCTGGAGATCGACTAATATCTGTTAATGGAAAGAGTCTTGAAAATGCAAGCTTAGATTATGCAGTTGAGATGTTAAAGTCGACAGCTCACGGTATTGTTCGTATAGGTATTACGAAGCCAATCACAGCAGTACCTCAACGTATGTCCAAAGGTTTGATTATGGAATCCGTTCCAGAAAATGCAATTGAACGTAGCGATGCAGAAGCAGTTTGTAGCACTGATACAGAAATGACAGAAGGTACACGAAATAACTATCGTGATAAAAGACCTACGCCTTTAAATATTACGGAACCAGATGAAGGCATTACTAATACCTCAGAACCAGTTATTCCTCCTTATGTAGAATACATTACTATTGATAAAGGGAAATCTGGTCTAGGGTTAAATATAATGTGCGATGATTACGGGTATGGTGCTGTGATTAAGAACATTTTACCAGGTGGTGCCGTTGAAAATGATAGCAGACTAGAAGTTGGGGACATTATCATGGTAATCAATAACAAAAGCGTCATTGGACTCAGTTCTATAAAATCAAGAGCAATTCTTCGTCGATGTACTTTACATGGAGATCAAATTTCTTTCGGTATTTTAAGGAAGAACCTCGTAGGTAAAGTTCCTGTCCCAGAGCCTACAGATTATAGTCCATCGAAAAAGCTTTCAGTCAAAAGAAAGAATCCCACCCCTAGAGATATTCAACCGTCTGCTGCTATTGATACTGTTGCTGAAGTTGCGGTAGTATCGCAATTAGTTACGGATGACAATATCCCCGATCCAATTCGTGAAGATACAATTATACCTAGTCAACATGAAACTGTCAAAGATGCACGTATGCCTGACTTTTCTCAGTTTGATGCATCGCAAGAAGATGTATGTGATGCAGCAGATACTGATTCAGCTATTGCCGTTATGGCATCAGCGGAAACATATCCCAGTGAAGAATTCATGGTAAGTTTGTTATTCTATGCTAACATCAAACGTAACAATATAGGACCAATAGTCTATCAATATTCTATTAATTGCCATATATAATCTATATCTAAGCGTACGAATGTAACATTTCTCTGAAATCTTTAACTGCCTTATTTACCTTTTACATTATCTGTAGGACGACAATACCGCTAATACTATTCAGTCCTTTCCGTTTCACAAAGTCGTTGAATTATATAGAGATCCAAGGACTGGCTTAGGAATTGGAATAGCAGCTGGGAGTAGTCAGGGTGATGTGGAAAGTTCGGAAAGTATTAAAGGAGTGTTTATTCGTCAAATTAAAGCAGATAGCCCAGCTGGAAGATGCGGCATGTTGATGCCTGGAGATAGATTGCTACAGGTTAAGAAATAATTTTTTATAAGCAAAGTAACCACATCTTTTATTTATAGATCTAATGTAATCAAAATTTTAATAATCGATTATATCAACAGGTCAATCACGTCGATGTAAGCAATGCGACTCACGAGGACGTCATAAATGTAATTCGTAATTCACCCGACCCTGTAAGGATCGTTGTGCAAAGTCTTATTGCAACAAATGATGACAGCAATGCAAACACGGACAAAAACCACGAAAACGATCATAGCCCGGTAGAATCGATGCAAGTATTAGAGCCAGTATCAGTTGTCCCATCTGCTGCTACCTTACAGCAATCCGTTGTGGTGGTAAATTTTTTTAAAATATACACTTTTATGAGTATTGCTTCCGCTATTGTCAAATGTTCAAATATCTTTAACATTTAACAGGCTGTTCCTGAATCTGTGCCAAATAATGAAGATCAAATAAATGTTGCTGGTAACTTGAGCGAAACTATTAACGATGTTGATCTAAGCCCTGAAGAACAAATCATGGAAAAATATGATATAGATCGTGGAGACGTTTTTATCGTACAGCTATTCAAAGGAAGTAGTGGTCTCGGAATAAGTATCACCGAGAAAAAATATCAGGATTCGCCGAGAATATTTGTCGCAAACGTTAAACCAGACGGTCCTGCTGGTTTAGATGGGCAAATCAGCCGTGGAGATGAACTATTAGAAGTAAACGATGCTGTACTACGCGGTAAGCAGCAAAAGGATGCTTTAACAATTTTAAAAGGTATGCCAGCCGATGTTAAACTAATTATATATCGGCCGCTATGGGAAAAGGAAAGACGATCTTCTACCTTAAAACAAGAAATATCAGAAGAAACACCTAACGTGGTTATGAAAAATTCTGCATCATCCGAAAGTCTTACGGTACCAAGAAGTCGATCGTATGCAGATCTCTCTCCTGCAGCAAGTCCTACAGAATCTACTCTCATCGTTACATTAATAAAAGACAGAGTAAAAGGTTTAGGAGTTGCAGTTGGGGAACCGAGAGGAATTGAGAAAAATTCAGGTCACTACGTTATCAAAAATATTGCAGAAGGAGGAGTTGCTGCACGCGATGGTAGGTTAAAGGTCGGAGATCGATTATTAGCAGTTAATAGAAAGTCTATAACTGGTTTGACATATCAAGAGGCAATAGAAGCTTTGAAAGAAGCTGAAGGAGCAGTTACACTTACTGTGTTATCAACGAACAGCGGCATTAATGTACCTATTAGCCCATTTGCTACACTGCCTAGAAATTTAGAAGGTGCAGCTAGATCATCTGATCCTGGTGATTCTCAAAAGGAAAGTACCGGAACTACGCCAACAAATGCAAGTCCAGCAGAAACACCCATTATTAAAACTCCACCTATCGACTTTGATGATGCTATATCTCTTCGAACTTGTCCTGTTATCCCTGGGAAAGAAACTGCAATAGAAATTGACAAGGGTGATGGTGGCCTTGGAATAACAATTATTGGAGGTGCTAATACATTGTTAGGTGCTACCGTAATATATAAGATATATGAAGATGGTGCTATATATGATGATGGGAGATTACAAGTTGGTGATCATATTCTAGAAGTAAATGGAGTCAATTTACGCAAGGCAGATCATGATGCAGCTATAACAGCATTACGTATTGCTCCTCCAGTCGTAAAGCTATTGATATTTCGTGAAAATGCTGATACTGCAGCTTTTCGTGATGATATTCTTGATGTTTTTACCGTTGAACTTCGGCGTAGCTCTTCGGAGGGACTTGGCTTTAGTATTATTAAAGGTGGAACAGAAAATGAAATTTTTATTTCAGATATTGTCACTGGTGGGCTAGCAGAGAAAGATGGCAGATTGTTGGAAGGTGATCAAATTGTCGCTATCAATGGAATAGATGTGCAAAAGCAGACCCATTTAGAAACTACTAAAATTCTGAGAGATCCGAAAGGCACGGTGCGTTTAACGATTAGTCGATTGAAGGCTGGATCAGTAGCTGGTTCGGTAATGTCAGCATGGCCGTCTACAAGTAGCCTCATTGGTAGCGGACTACATTCGAGTACTGATAGTCTACTTGGAACCAACCTTGCACAAAAGGTAGACAATAAAGTTAAGATAGTACAACTGTTTAAGCGTAATCCGCAAGATTCATTAGGGCTCAGTTTCTCGGGTGGTGCTGGAAGTCCTCTAGGTGACGTACCCGTAACCGTAGTAATTGTTAGACCTGGGGGATTGGCAGCACAAAATGGAGAAATTAAAGTGAATGATCAAATTCTAAAAATCAATGGCCAAAACTTGGATGGATTAACCGACGTTGATGTGGTTAAAATGTTAAAAAAAGCTACTGGTACAATAAGTCTACAAGTCTTATCCCCCGAATCTGATAAGACTAAGACCAGAATATCAAGTTCAACATCATCTGAATTGGTCCCATCTCCTAATGTGAAAGATATACCAACTACCATAGACACAGATAACACTACGCTCAAAGAATCTAGACAAGTTATTTTAGAACGCGGCGTCGATGGTCTTGGTTTTAGCATCGTCGGTGGCAATGATAGTGTACAAGGCAACTTGCCAATATTCATCAAGCAAGTTTTCCCTTGGGGAGCAGCTTCTAGAAGTCAAGAGCTAAAGGCTGGTGACCAATTAATATCAGCAAATGGTCACAGTTTACTTAATGTTTCACATGAAGAAGCAGTAAACATACTTAAAGGCAGCAAAGGGAGTTTGGTTTTGACTATATCATCGTAATATTATACTAAGCATCAAATCAGGCCATCAAACCTTCTTGTATAGCGGTATTATCGTTATTGTAGGGTCTCGGCCTTTCTGATAGGTTACCCGTTATAACCGTTAAGACATCTGCAGCGATGACATTTCGTGATACAAGTTTGTTAATTTATGGCCTTTAACATGCACACTATAATACTAATTGATATTATATCTTAATATTGTAAAAAATATCAGTGTAGAAATTATTACCGAAAATAGCTGACCTTACTCTATAATCAAACTAGGATGCAGTTTATAATACAATAGAGCAGCTATATATAGAAATGATGGGAGAATTTATGTAATTGTATAACTTCCAATACAACGTACTTTTTCAACAGATAATACAGCATTCTATTTACTCGAATAGTTATTTTTAATTTCAAAAATTTCATGTTATGTACGTAATACACTACAGAACGGGATTATCTAATTACAAATGGAATATTATGATCAACTTTACCTTTTGCCTATAGCAGTGCATGATACTATCAGGAAGTAACTTCTAATAAGATTTTCAAAATTGTACCATCAATTGCATGTTTTATCCATTCGCTTGCACTATGGTCACCTAGAATATAGTTCTTCATTCTTTTCGTTATGTTAAAATATTTCGATTGTCAAAATTTTATCTCTGGCTAGTTGTAATATCATATACTAAGCACCTAGTTACGTCCTCGGATAAACACTTCGTTATTAATAACGTTTAAAGCAATAGATATTTTCATAAATTTGTGCAGTTTTAAGAATTTTTATTGAATTACTGCTTAAGCTCACTCTTATACTTACTGTAATGTTGGAATTGAATTATAAATATTTGTATTAATATTCATTGATTTCGCACATGAGATCAATTACCAAATTATTGTAATAATTATCCTTTGAATGATACTTTTTTCTGTCAGTTAACATCTATGGTACTCTTAATGTAAAAATACTAAAGTAGGTACGGTTCAAATATTATAATTAACAAATTGTAAGATTTTAAATAATTAACCGGTATCAACGATGCGCAGGATATCCTAGTAAAGGTTACATATAAAATTTATTATCATTACGTCGTTTGGTGTAATGAATTGACAATACTTAAGAAAGTAAAATAAACGATTTTCGTCAAAGAATGACTAGTAGAATTGTCCACGACCACGTCTAATGTAGTTATTATTGATGGTGACAGTTTTTAAAATTTTATTCAATGATTATCTTGATTTAATGATGAAACCGGCGAAACTATGCTAAAAAATTTTTAGGCCTTTCTTCCACATACACGAACGTGAACCCAAGTTACTATATACGTCAGTGCTCAACGATATAAAATACTGAGATAATGGCTACTTCAATCGCTATCAAAGCGTAGTGAAACAGCATTCGTGAATTATTACCATCGTTATCATAAATAGATTTGTAAGTAACAAAGGAATCAATGAAGTTATTCCTAACTTCAGTCTTATTATTAATCATCGATACATTAAAAATAAAGTGAAATTTTTATAGTTACGCGACACCCATGTTCTGTTTCGATAGATATTTGTAATAGCACTAGATACTTTATGAAATATAATTATAAACATGCAGTATCTTTCACAACTACGATATCATTATCTGACAAATACGGTAGAATACTTTTGTTATCTATATTAATATTAGATTTAATATATCTATAATTATCAGAGGTGCCTACAAGTAGATAGAGTCTAATCGCTATGTATTATAATACTATCGCAGAATAGAATTCACATCTTGAACTCTTACCGAAATATCTTAATTTTTCTTACAATTTTACCGCTTGTTATATGCAAGGGCTTTACTATGGACTACCAGATATACTGTAGATACGTTTAGTATCCGTGGCTTTACACTGTACCTTAAATTCATTTTGTGGATTATGGATAAGAAATTTAATTATATTCCACTTTTTGGATACCGGCATTTGAAATCTCTTGCAAAAAACATCATATTGTACTTTTTAGATAAATTCATTTCCTAAATCACACCAGTAGATACGAAATTCTATCATCTACGTCATGGCATACGATATCTGAGTTCTCCTTCAAATCAATTATAATCACTATAATCTATCGCATGAAATACTGTTACGCAGTACTCTAGCATTAGTAGATTTTTCTTATCTAATGTACTCATACTGTAATTTACAAGATATAATTATGTAGCTAAACAGCATTCTGTAACTAATTATATATAAATCTGAAATTTTGTTGCAATCATTCAGATAGTCAGATAGTCCTTAGTAGAGGTTAGACGAACCTAACTTATGTAATAAAGTGAAATTTACAAGAAACTGTAGTTCTTAGTTTAACGTTGAAGATCATTTTATCGTACAGTATACGAATATGTACCGATAATGTACGAGTAAATGCGAGATATTACCATCTCTTAGGTTAAATCTCTTGGTACATATAAGTTTTCATCCATTTGATTATTGCTACCTGTTGCGCGAAATATCGTTACACTGCGCATTATTTTAAGATTTATTTGTTGTATGATGAAAAACAACAATGAATCAAAGAAAGTTGGGTGTGCTTGATGCGTGAAATATATTGGTTGAAGCTAGCACTCACGATTTTAGTATCCAGCTGCGTTTAGCAATAATGGTGTAACTTCAAACCTTAATTCATAAATTCCAAAGTATCTATATGTGATTCAATAGCACTTTAATAATAGATATAGATATTGTTATCTCTGAAATACAATCTTATATTTTATAGATAATTGGATAATTTTCGTTAGTTTATTTAAGTAAAACATACGTGGGATATTATTTAGCAACTGCTGTACTTTCAATTAAAGCGGATATGAGTTTCAGCGCTGTTATAAATTAAGAAAAAATCGTAAAAGACAACGATCACATTTATTAAAATCTTATAAGCTCTTCATTTTAACAGTAATAAAATCGGTTACTATTTTTGTAACTACAAATGATATGATTCAATGATAATTTTTCTTTTCAATTTTACTATGCAGTAAGCTTAGCTATTATGATGATATTGTTTAACGCTAACAACAAAAGCTAAAAGAAAATAATAATAAAATACAATATTGGGTGGTATCCAACTATTAATATAATTTGAATATATACTATAGCAGGATAGCACAGCTATTATGATCGAATTTTCACGTTATAAAATCATGATGAATGGCTACACCGTAGACAATAGACAAGATTGTGGCATGCCTATTTGATCTTGTATCGTGTTTTGTCTTGTACTGTATATTCTTGCGCTTTCTAGCATTGCTACCCGTAGTGTTATCTAGTAACTTAATCACCTTTCGGCGTTGATTGCAATAGATGTATTTAGTGATTTTAAATTTCCAACGTTTATAGACCAGAACTTATTTCAAAATGTTTTTCGCGACAAAGAAAATGAACTTTCAATAATTTGATGAAATTACTATACCTGTATAATTATAGTATATTGCAATATTGCGAATAATAAAATAGCTTTTCGGCCGAAATTTTCTTATTCTAACATATGCCTGTCTCTATAACAAATAATAGTATTTTGATATTCCTAGTACATCGCACTAAATTAATGGTAATAAAAAGCTATAATGCATAAAAATAATGACAGGAATATAAGCTTTCTAATCGATTTCGCTTAAAATCTAGCGTAATATAATTAATGTGACTATTAATAAGCATAACATTCCCCTATTAGTATGGCAAGAGATTAATCCCGACATGTAGCTATAGGATACATTAAATAAAATAATACAATAAACTTTTTGATGGTTTTTTTCGCAGATTGTATATACCATAGGCACTACTGAATAGTACTAGATAGCAATAATCTATTCTAATAAATTGTGCAAAATTATAACATTCCGATTATTAGATATACATAATAAAGCGATTGACATAAATTCCTTGATCGATTTTTTTCTTCCATAGGACAATGTACTGTTTTCTACAACTGATTAATACGTGCAGCAACTAATATCGGTCTTGCTTGTTAATTGCACAAAATAATATTTTGAATTGTAAGAGACAATTGAATGACCTTATACAGATATTTAGTTATAATTACTTACTAATTAATGAGGTATCTATTCTTTGTATTTTTACTTATATCAATAGGCATCTAAAATGTGTAAAATGATGGTACATAACTCTTTGAATGCTAAGACCTTGGGATAAATACAATTCGTTGTTGAGTTATTAATATAATTTAACTATTTCGTGTCTATATAGCCTCCTTTTCGTAAACGAGTTACCTTTTTAATTTCGATAATTCTATTGCCATGGCAGTTCTAAATTAATTTAAAGCTATTGTTACTATATTGAATAGGATGATAATTAAGCTATCATAGCAGATTATCAATTGTCTAGGATAACGTCTAACTTTTGTTGTGGTGCTATCACTTCCTATACCGATATGTATAAGTTGTTTACACTGTTACCGTATTTGGCATTATCAATTCATTCGATTACAGTATTAGACTAGATTGAGATGTTTGCCGGTTACGTTGGTCGATTAGTATCTAGACGTAGAAGGATATTAACACGATCTACTTATTTTAGTCGAGTAAGCCTAAATCTGGCAGCTAACCTATAATCCTTACAAGATTGACTAATAGATAGAACAGCAACAAATTAGTCATTGATGCCAGCATGTATCAACGCGTTTTACCGAATGGCCGACGTGCCAGTATCGTACCTGAAAACTGGATCGTGGATAGTGTCTTCCAACCAGGTGAATTTGAAAATTTAGTATTTGGTGGTGGTGGCTATAAAGGTATCGCTTATGTTGGTGCTTTAAAGGTAATATCATGTTAAATTCTTATCTTTTAACAGTTATTCTTCTCCTGCTTCTATTTCCTAAAAGATCAGGTTATTTTAAAGAATCAATAACGTTCTAAAAACTTAAAAACTTTAGATTGATTAACCAGGCTGATTGATCAACTTCATGAATAGTAATCTAACAATTACGTAACATGATGACACTGTAGGGTTAAGTACATTAGTTCAGACATTGCTTTCATAATTATATCAGTCGGCAAATTAATCATTGCAAAGGATGCAGTAATTTTGAAGTTAAGCCTGCAAATGATAACATTTAAATCTTGATAATATCTTACCATGAGTTATAGTAAATTGTTTAATATTTTGCTTTCGTCCCATTTATAATAGCCGTTTACGATAATAAACGAAATTACCTTATAGTAAGAATCTGCCAGGCATGATAACGGACTCATACTGCAGTCAAACAATGATCAATCATGTGTTTTGATTTCCTTCATAGTAAATTTTAGAAAGCTATAAATATAAATTATTTGAATCTATTGACTGATATTAAATAGTAAATTTATAGCAGAATTTCGAAATGGCCTTCCATCCCCGAAATTCTTATAATATTATACTTTGATCATTAAACAGATATTACAAAAGGTTGGCATTTATCAAGGAATTAAGCGATTTGCTGGCTCAAGTGCAGGAGCTATGCTTGCAGCTTTACTCTCTGTTGGCTACGATGTAGACGATGTTGAAGAATTTTTATGCCAAGATATTAGAAAAATTACCGAGGGTAAGTATAAATCTTATTTACAAATCTATCTATAGAGCACTTTGTTAGTTCATTTCTTGACCTGCTCATTGATAATAATTATTTATTAACTATTCATTGTGAAATTCAACGCGATTTCGAGATTAACTAAATTAAATACAACTGCGTGTACTAGAACGTAATCATCTAGCATGGGAAAAAATAGGATAATTCTGACTAACTATGATAGCGAAATAATATTCGTGATATCCTCATGCATCCATCTTAGATAGGATTAATGCTGTAGTAATAGGAATGGGCGCTAAATACTATTCTTAAAACAAGATGGCTATAAGCATCTTAGTTAACTGAAATAGTATCAATGATATTCAAATACAACTTTCTAGGTTAATAGAATGGGATAGCAAATGACAGAAACAATACGGTAGCCATACTGGAGGGATTAATATAGAAGTAAGAGTGGCACTAGATACTTTTTTTAAAATAAATAATGTCTTTCATATCGCCACTCCTATCATAGATCCAAGCTGAATCAATATCAGACAGTAAAAGCCGTCCTTTAAGTCTCTGTTTTTAAGATCTTCATTGTTATTTCTACATTTTCTTGCTTCTGTGAGTAATTTTATTATTATTGCGGTACTGATAGCGGATTTTTGTCCTTTTTTTCCAGTCTAATTTGATAAATGCAATTTAAATATTATCCAAACATAACAATACAAATTAATTTGTGGGAGTCAAGAACTGTTAACGCCATTTTTATTCTTAATTTGAAACAGCTCCCTCCTGTTCTATTATAAAAATTTCTTCCCACTTTTGTATAGTTATGTCCGTATTAGAATTATGATTGAATTAGTAAGGATGTGAAAGGACGAGAATTTCTTCATCATAGAATGCATCATGACCTAAACGCTTAAGTGAAATTTAAACAAGAGAATAACATTGTACAAACTACCATATTTTTAAGCTTGGCTGGCGAAATTGATTTAATTCTATGTTGAATTTAAAATGATCACACTAACACTAATCTTATTGCAATATTATCGAATTGATAAAAGGATATGTAGTTAGTTATCCTAGACAGTCAATAACCATAGAATTTGTCTATGCTGAAGAGATTATGGATACTATATAACTCTGCACTAATGTATTGTTGAAATTGAAATACTCAATATGAACAAATCAATTTGTAGTTCCAGATGCTAGTCATTAAAGTAGACTGCCTTTAATTTTTTAATCAAACATCACTTTTAGATAAACATACGTTTGGCATTTTTAGTATGTTACCTAAACTATTACTGAAATCTGGTTGGAACTCCGGTAAAAAATTAGAGAAATGGTTTCAGAATGCTATTGCTAATGGGCCTAAAATTAAAAGTAACTATTCGCTGAATCGATGTCAACAAATTACATTTAAAGAGGTAACACAGCATCTATAGCGTAGACGATTATTTTCCTCGTTGATCAATTGTCGAATGTCCAAATTACATTTATTTGACGATTTTTCTTTTAATTATAATTACCGGTACTTAATCTACATGAATCAAGTAGTTTCCTATTTGAAAATAATGAAGTTACCATATTTTTTGTTGACAAGAAAAAATTAGTCAGACGTGGACATATCCTAATAAGACCTTTCTCAATCGTCATCATTCGCTGCGGGAAAAATTTTTATTTGTCTTTTCGGACGATTAATTAGTTTTTCCTAATTGATTTATAAGGTGTCGCTCTTTTGTTAAACTTTCGGTACATTAAAATGATAGTTGAGCAAATTGAATTAATCATTAAATTATAGAACAATAAGCATTAGCGATGCCCAGTTGGGGTTATTGAACAATGACTACCAAGGGTGGCATGACTGATGAATTCTGATGGCTGATGTATCAGTTTGTTATTAATAGCAAGTTCCAGCATTCTTTCGATCTCTGACTGCTAGGGAAAAGAATTAGATAACTGTGAAATCTCATATAATATTGATGCAGGATTTTGAAAGTTTGCTTTATATTTATTTTCTTTAAGATAAAATCATAACAGGTTTTTGCTCCTTTCTATCTTGAATTAGTCATCATATTAGAACGTAATTTGAACGATATTATCGTTACTGTATAGCACTTCAATTTAAAATCCTATCCAATAATAGCATAGTACGTACTGTTACTAAATGCAAGTAATACACCCTACCAGCCTTACATCCAAGCTTAGCTTGATTATGTTGATTCGGTAAAGATCAAATCGATATTATCTTAAATTATAGTAAAGGACTGTTTAAACTGTGACAGTATATTTTTTCCGTATTATAAAATACAAAGTAATCCATTAGAGCTACTGGAGAATCCTCTGCCAAATAAAAGTGGTCATGCAACAAGTAGCATAAAGAGCTAAAGCTGTTATTTGTCATACTAATTTGGAAGTCATGCATCGATTCCTTTACTATTACAGAGTGTAAAGCAGGATGCTTTTATAACCTACTGAATAACCGCGTTTTTTACCGTTTTCGTTCCTTAGTCGTCTACTTTTGTTTTACTGATATTAGCCTAGAGGGTTACAGTAAGATGTTTTACCAGTACTTACCTTAACTGTCATTAAATCCGAAAGTTGTACAGCAAATAGGGAAAGCCTTATGATTGTTATCATGAAATTTATGGCTATTTCACTAACTCTTTACTGTTGCCTGTATCAAATTTAGATAGTTTATAAATTATGTTTTAACTAATTACTTTACCCTGATCGATCGTAAATGTATTAATTGGAGCCTCAAGTAAGATGATCGCGTTAGATTACAGTGAACGCCTTTACACTCCTTTAGTAATCTACCATTGAATTATTCATCGGGTTAACTAAATATACTTTTCTATCAGTTGTTCTGATCAATCGATTTAGATTATTAGTCTTTCATTCCAAGTAAAATTTCTACTGCTGCGCTCTGGTATGTTGCGGTGGTACTTTATTGAACAGTTCCATATCCATCAATGATAAAATAATACGTTGCTTCCCTAATTACCTACAGTAACAAAATTTTAACGGCAATGTATTCATCTTTACTTCGATAGAATGTACCTACTACACGGTATCATTCCTTACAAATTGAAATTTCTTCCATTTGCAAAATAAGCTCTAATCTAGTGTTGTTTATCGTTATAATTGTGATTCAATACTACTATGTTAGTCATTACTAATGCATAAAGTAATGGTTTAACAATCTTGATTAGGTAGTGAGTGAGTCATTAAATTTGATATCATGAAATGTTTTAAGTTTCTTCTAAATTATTTTAGATTTTATAATTTACTCATCTATCAGTGGCAATCGGTGGAACTTTCATAAAACTAGAATAAGATATACTTATAAGAATTTTTGCGGATAATCCATTGCCAGGCATAATACTATCGTATCGTATTTTCTAATAGCTTTAAGCAATTTTTATCTAATGAACGAAATTTCTCATCAATACTTGCACTTGAAAGTATCCATTTGTGTAATTCCGCTAAAGTTCTCATATACTCTAAATTAATTTTAGTAATTAGTCTTGGAGGTATGAAAAGCTTCTATAAGTTATGCTAATGTGCTACGATAATCTATATCAAAGCCGTTTTTACTGTACTGTATACAGGACAATTGTTGTCTTTGGGCAATCCATTTGAAGGATAAATCTAATAGAGTTGTAATATAATCTCCAATAAGATAAAAAATGATATAATTATATTAAGGGGAAAATAGCGCAGCTTTATGCATATATTTGATAATAAAGCTATAGAATAGATTTAAGGAGAGCCCACATAATAGTCTTTACACTTAATTACTATAGTATATAACGCATTGGCATTTTCTCCGTACTGTAATATAAAATTCACGTGTCCCAGCTCTTAACTTCCGGGTTTCAAAACAGAAAAAGCAAATATAAATCCAGCTAGGATAAAAATAATGGAAAATGTATTGGATGTTTCAGATATTAATAATTAAGTTACCATATATATTATCGACAGCTTGTAGAATAGATTCTGGAATAATCGCTTCTATAGTCTCTAGATTATACTATTAAACTTGTATTTCTTCAGTAATACACTGTATTCAACAGAGAGGATGAGTTAGCTCTATTAACACACAAGACAGTTACGCGATAGGCCTACTATAGTTATTGTAGTTGTAGTAGATTTAATTTACTCAATGAACCTTACAATATAAACGGAGGTGTCATAGGGGTGTATAAATTGAACTATTATTTCTAATCTATTTTATATATGATAAAATTATTATTATAGCTCCACTATTATCATATAACCTAGGATTACTAAAAAGGTTAAAACATTCTAAAAGTGACTTGAAAAGAGGATCAAAAAGTTAATGATGTAATCATAATCGAGATGATCGATTTATTCCAATATTAACCCTGAACTCTTGTAATCAATATTATACTTGAAAAGATTTTTGATATATTGTACAATGCACTTATATATTGTAACATTTTTTCACTATAACTGCCAATTTATTGGTTAACTTCTTAATCGTTTTCAAAATTACTTTTGTAGCTATACGATATCGATGGAACCGAACTATGTATAGTTGCAACCAATCTCAATTTTTTATCTATGGAATATTTTCATCCTAAAACCACTCCTGATTTTCCTATTTATAAAGCGGTTCGAATGTCTATGTCTATACCAGGTCGGTTTATATTTAGTTGCATGAGTAGTTAAATTCGAACAGATTTATATATTTTGTTTATTAAATACAGCTAAGAACATCTAAATTCAGCCCTCTTCATGTTATGATCGAAATTACGTCATAGCATCGTTTTCTACTCGTATATTAGTAACGATCAAGCAATTTTAAAAATGTTCCATTGCTTAAACACAACATTTATCCTAGTTCAATAACGTGGGTTCTACTTTCTACGTGGATACGCTATTTTTATCCTTTCAATAAGATATAATTTTCTTCAATTTTTTCAATTAATTCAAAATGTAACCTATTTCTCATTTATTTTCATTAATTAATTCAACTAACAATAGTATTAGTTTACTTTCAAGGGAATTATTTGATTTTTAATATTGTATAATAGTAAATTTTAGCGATACTCGTATTTGAAGGAAGGGATTGCAACACCTTTACTCTGTCTTGTTGTATTATAAATTCTGAACATGTTGTGGTAAATAAATTATACAATTTTTACGCTTACTTAGGATTAGGTTTAGGCAGACTTTCCTACGTAGTGGAGTTCTATAATTTAATATTGGTCTTTATATATTTATACGTATTTATTATTTTAAGAAATTATTCAATATACAACAGTAATATATAAGAAATAAAACTGCATAATGTGAAATGTTACCTCTCATGTCTAGTTTTATTCCTTACGTATTACTGCTCTATATTGAATAATTTTTGAAATAATGATTATATACTGATATATAAAAATCTGTATTGAATTATTCAATTCGTATTTACATTTAGAATCCTTTATATGCACAACAAATATCATTCTTCTAAGTTTACAGGCCAACTTATGCTCCAGGGCTTGCTTGTACTCGCTATTGTTCGATCATTTCATTAGCATAATAATAATAATTTTTAACCTGTTATTCCATATTAGACATATCAATAAGTTGATTACCTGATGTTGTTTTCGTAATCTCGAATTCCTTTCACCTCTTGTTGTAACTTTAGGATTGCGATCAACAATAGCGTAATAACAAATGATGACAAATAATTATACTAGCATGCAGTGATAAATCATAATACACTTGCCAGTATAATGATCTAGATGCCTACTTTAGTCACAACATCTTAATAGCAAGAGGACAATGGATAAAATTATTTAGTATCATTCTGATATTGAAATAATTTTGGATCTAGTTACATAGGATAAAAACTATGAACTAATCTTATTTCGTTTATTTTTAATCCTTTATGTTGAAATTTATAAGTATTGCATCTATTAATTCTCGAATATTTATTAGTTAAAGTGTTACTTGATCTATTTATACTTGTGTTAATTTTTTAAGAGTTTAGTGAAGGCAAGAAAATTGCCAATACAAGTACTGAAGCATTTAAATCACTTAAACGACATCCTATAGCTATTTCTATTCAATTGTATTAATTTCTTTGAGTTTTTACAAATAGAATAGAAAGCTCTGTTTATAGTATTATCGATAAAATCTAAAAGCTTAGTCTTAATACTTTATAGAACAAGATAAAAGCTCTGAAATAAGTTGAACGGTATCTTTAATTATTATCTAGCTCGACAAAGACTGATCCATACAACTCTTTAGTCCAAAGCAATGGGAAAATTTTTGACGAATAACAAATAAAATTATAATCATAACATGTTGCTATTTACTTTAACTAAAACTGAAAAATAAAGTCCGAACTAAACCTTACCATTTGTTCCTGGATGTTTTCTATTAGCTTGTTTACATTTGATAAGCCCTCTATTATTAAAATGATATATTATATTCCTTTTGTAATCATATTTTTACTAGTTTTTGCTGATAATAAGATCTTGCATATCATAGAATTTTACTGTATTCAATAGTATACTATATTTAGTCAATGTAGAGATATATGGATGAATCTACAGATTTATAATCAATACTGAATCAACTATATTCCTCATCGATAACCAAAGCATTTACAAAAATAATTGGAAAATTGTTTTATTAATAATATTAAGGTCATGCACACTGTAAAATAGTACTTTACAAAGTAGCATACTCTATTGAACTATCGTATTGATGGAATATATTTTATAGATATGAGGATGAATCTATTGGTCTGCGGCTTTAGTGGATTACAATATGCATGATTAATAACCATAATAAGAATTTCCTGCAAGGATTATTTATGCCATTTATCTTAAAAATAGGCTATTATGAGGCGGTTCGAGTTAAACATCATCGAGTTAAAAATGATGACTGTATTATACGAAAGAAGAAAATACCTTGTTGTCTATACTGCTGTATATGCTGCTCTAATTGGGGTGAAGATTCAGCTAATTATGATTTGTATATTGATGGTGGTGTTGGATGTAATTACCCTATCCATGTTTTCGATGGTAAGTATAAAATATTTCATTTTTTGGAGGCTCTATATGAGCAATTAATATTATTTATAAGTAAATACGATGGGATTGTAACAGCAGTTTCCCTAATACTTTTTTCTTAAAGTGTCAAATTACAATGCATATTTCTCTATAGTAAAATATTGGTAGCCTATAAATCTGTTGCTATTTTTCGCCAATTTTACTGATTATAATGTTCAAAATTAGTGAAATAGAATGCGCTAGTTAGAATTTTAAGTATAACAGCTTAATTTCTATGTATAGAACGAATATTACAAATTTACGTAATAATAATATTAATAATGACAACGATACTAGGGTGGTGGTTGTCCATGGATGAAAAAGATCATTTTGTCGAAAGAATGCAACCATTTACGGATATGGATCGATTTTACGATGTTGAAGATAGGTTTGGAATGACACCTAATCCTAAAACTTTAGGTTTGATGCTTGTAAGTTTATAATTTAATATGATAAACATTTCATTTTCTTATTTTATTTCTAGCTTCTATTTGTATAGAGTTATGCCTTTTTATGGTAACATTTCGTACAGTCTTTATATTCATTCAACATAGTTGTGTCTCCGTAAATATAATCATAAAAACTGTTACGTAAAAATATTCATTTATTTCAGTAGTTTCAGAATGATTGTGATAATTGACTATGAAATATTTTCTATGGCTTACTTATGCATATTAGTATTCTCCCTACCGTAATGGAATGTTTTGCAAAGTTTTATCGACTCGAGAGAAAAAATTATTTGGATCGTTAGCAGTTCCTAAGAAATTTATATCTGAGCATTCAAAATTAAGGTAACAATTCAAAATTTTATGTTTAAAATTGTACGAAAGATTTACTTTTGCTAGGGCAATATTTTATTCCTGTTTAGTTATATAAGCTGGTAGGAATACTTAATATGCAGTAATTTAAAGACTTGTAAGTCATATTATCAACATTATATCAAGTAAAAATTACACGGAAATAATTATTACTGAATTATGGTTATAATACAAGTTTAATGCAGTACAGTTGTAATTGTCCTTAATATGGCGCAGATTTATTATTATATTAAGATCTTAATATTGTGAATATAACAATTGAAAATATCTTGCTTGTTAATTTGCTAGTTTACGAGCTGAGAGTATTCGCGACAAGAAAGATAAAGCACTTGCCGCATTTAGTGACATTGTTCAGGTAAATAATATTGATAAAACATGTAATATCACTTAGCGCGCTGTTATATTGGATAAATTAACTAGACATTTTGGTTTACATCAAATTGATCGATTTACTTTAATGTTCCATAATATTGGAAAAGCACTATAAGCTATTCTGATTTTGATTAAAATATCTTGTTAGGTTTTGGAGCCTTGTAAAATAATTGTGGATGGGACAACATGTTACCCGCTTTATGAAGCAAAAGAACTCATTCGAAGAGTAAGAATAAATTGATTTTATGTTTTTTAACCCAGTTTAAATTCACGCAGGAGTACAATGTGAACGTATATGTTCGTAAGATGTAGAAAAGGGAAAGAAAGAATGCAAACTAGAGCTAGTACCACATCATAGGGGTGTGGCTTGGATAATTTAACAATTTTTACTGGGTTAAGAACATAGTTTTCGTATAATTTCGGTACCGCAGATTATAGACTTCTAATTAGGGTTTATTTATCATCTAAGGCATTTATTTTAGTCGAAATCCTTCTTAACTAAATTAATACTGAGAGATATAGAAGCTGCAAGTTAATATTATTATACATTTAATTTATGTAGGAAATTTGTAAATATAATATGAAGTTGATTATTATGTATACGTGGGTAGATATCAATGTGAACCCTTATATTCTGTGTTTACAAAGCAACTTACATTTCAAAAATTTGTTACCAGTATATTTAATTTTGGTATGACTAAATTGTTGTATTCAGTATATGATATTCACAACGTATTTTCCTTCCTCCATAAAGACATATAAAGATCAAGAGCATTTCATACGATTAGTATGTCCAGAAGGCCTTGATAGTCTTTTAAAAAGACTTGAGGATTGCCAAATAGAAGGAATGGTAATTTAATAATTATTATTTAAGTTTAAAATTGAATTTTTTTCTACTGTAGAGCAGCGTTATTCCGTTTTGACTCGTACTATTTGTAAATTAAACAATAACATAAAGCATTAGTCCCTTTAGTGCACGAATATCGCTGCAATGCATTCAGTCCTTAATAATAGCATCCTTTTATCTTAGTTATCCTTACGATATTTGCAAAAAAGCGTTTTGGAGCAAGAAAATTTTATCGATTTAAAACATGATCATCTTGGTTACTATCGAACTGCAATTAAAGGGCCAGCACAGTTTGCCATAGCAACAATAGTAAGTTCTTCTATAGATTGAAGAGAGACAAATGTGTCAGACTGCCGACGGGCTGCTATATCACTTTGATACAGCCCATATACACTTAAAGTGCTGGTATAATTTATCTTTATCTTTTTCTATAGGATACGTTATTACTAAACGGTAGAAGTCGGTTTTTAAAGGTACGCATATGTGTTACATGATACTGCATCGATCTATATATTATGCGTAAGATAGGACATTTCAAGATTTTAAAGCATTTTACAATGTTTTTGTTATTAATTTAAATTAATGGAGGATATGCTCCTGTAGTACTTTATAGCAATTCTAATGTCTGGATTTGTTTTTTATACAGTCTAGTGACGTAAATCGGTCGATAGGTATTAATACCTCGTATTTAAAAGCGACCAATGGCAACTTAGCTAAGGATGATAAAGAATTTCTTAAAGAGGTAACATTGATCGCTGATAGTAATATGATAATAATATAACACTGTGTAATTAGTGGAATACCGAGCACCAAAATTTCTTTAACTACTTGAGACATCGAAAGCCATAAAGTACGTGCAGTTATTTATTATTTCATGAATCGGAATTGAGATGACACAAATTATTTGATTGCACGGATTTCTAGAAGATCAAGAATTTCTCAAAGTAACTAACCTATTGTGGGTAGTAAGGCGTTGCATGATGTTAATGTAGCCATGTGTTAATGTGCTTAATAAGATAGTGGATAAAAGAAACCTGCTTTGTCACTTATGGATATTAGAGTACAAAGCATTTTTGGTTATGGATATCTTTATTGATTGGAATTACAATGAAATAATTTATATTTCGTAAAGACGTAAAATACACTATTTGATAGTAAATATGTGATAAAAATGGTATTACTCTGCGCGATTCACAAGATGACGAATTACAGAATTTGCAATCTACTTATGACACGAAAAATAGCACGCATGCAGTTGTGCATTATTTTATAAATTTGTATCTCCACGATTTAATTTGTATATCTTCAAGAGGTACAATGCACGGTATCGTTAGCAATAATGAAATGATTATATACACGTAGTATTTTATGATTGTTAATGTAGGACTTCAAGGGTTTCTTGTCTACTTGATAAGGTTCCAATTTCATAAGGGGGATAAAATTAATCATTAAATAATGGTATGATGATGACATAGCTTGATACGATTATATAATTATCTTTGCCAAATAACGAGTATAAGAAGCTTCTTCAGTTTATTTTATGAATATCAAAAGTATTAAATACATCCAATTCTGGATTAGATTATTTTATAAATCAGATTTGTAATGAAAGGACATGTATTCGTTACGCGTAAGGACTACTGTGAAGTGCGATTTACATTTTTGCTGGCCTAGGAAAAAATAGTATTCCAGTCTACGTTATAGCCGAAAAGGAACATTGCTTTCAATTATTTCTCCTATTCGAAAGTGAATATATTGCAATATTAAATTACTAATTGGATGTTATTTAATTGATGATATTATAGAATGGTCAGCGGGGTATAATTGCTTTTTTGCATTATTACTTAAAAGAGAAAGGAAGAGTGCAACAAAATATTCGAACTTATGGCAGAGTCATTCAAGTCAGATCCAAAGACGAAACTTCCATATAGCGGTTAGAACTAATCAAGCATTTGATAACTTGCTATGATTTCATCTAGCCTGGCTAATGGTTGCGAAATTTTATATTTTTTGTCTTTATTAGCCTATTAGCAGTTGGTATATACGAATATACAATAGGACACATGTGCAGGAGGCTCTGTTATACCTTTCTATATTGGCCATTGACTTATGATATAAATCATGATTCTATAATATTATTTTTCTTGTTATTAACATCGCTACTAAGCATTGTAGCATTCATAAGTCGGTATATATATAACATACATAACGTATATACCGATTATGCTATCAGGATTTCTTCGTCTCGTTGTAGATCATTGATACCGAGGATTTGATTTAATTAATGTTTAATAATCTTCTGCAATAACCATTTCTTCATCTAAATAAAAGAAAAGAGAAAATCTTAATTTATTGTTACTTTTTATATTATTATAGTAAGAGATATCTATCTGCCAGCGTGTATGAAAACAATTCAGATTTGATGTCGGAACTTTCGATTTACTCCTTTCAGCTCAGCTTCCAAGTTGGAGTATTCAGTATTATCATGCTCTTGAAGACTGCCGTGAAATACAGTTGTTTCTATGGCAAGAACAGCAGTATCTTCAGGCATGACTGCAAATTAGACCATCCGAAAATATCAGACTATTGTAAGTAGTTTCAATATTTTCGGATGGTCTCTAATGTACTTTGTACGTTGTACAGATATATATATAAATTAAGGGGCATTTGCTTGATTGTCAATGATTTGTTAAACTTCGATCATTCAAATCATATTCTAACGCTGCATATAGTGATATGAAAAAAATAGAACTAACTTGTATATTAAAATAAACTAGGTTACCAATTTTGATTAATTATAATTATATAGTATATAATTAATTAGATATTATATGGGCCAATTTGGGTTTTCGAAGGACTGTACGTGTCGTAGCTTCTACCATTACTGTTTTAGTACAGGTGCTGTACCTCGGTAAGGACTCCAGTCAAATCCTGTATTTTTGTCTTCGTCAAGGACAGTCGAGGGACAGGGGCTAAACGTGACGTAGTGGTCCCAAACAGGCCAGAGTCCCGCTGGGACTCCAGGACAAAATAGAAAAATTTATATTTTGTCTTTGGAAGACAGGGACTCTCGTAGCAACCCTGCGCTGTGGTTGGCCTAGAAAGGTCATGTGATTCTCTACAGTATTTCACACGTATAGTACTGTAGTTAAAACTAAAAAATAATTAATTAATTTAATGCAGTATAAAGACTACATTTGAGGTTCATCATTTTATCATATTGATTCAAATGGATAGCGATACATGGTCTAGCGATCAAGAGGTCATCACGCGTCCATCTTCACCTAGATGGACCGTATCTAAAATTAAGAAATTAATTGCTGAGGTAATCGTAATTGTCAAGGTATGATAATTTATATACTAAATATAAGTATTAATGTGTAGTACTTTAATAATATTAACGGGTATAGGTGGCTGATCATGAAGTCCTATGGAGGGTTTGCCACCCTAGATATAGGGATAGAACGGCCAAGGCCGATAATTGGCGAAAAATTGGCATGGAGTTGTATGACATTAACGGTACAGTACCACTCTACTGAGCTACCAAAAATGGGAACAGCTACAGTACTGTATATATGTGCAAATGTACAGTACTAAAAATTTCATTAATTTTAATTTGATTGTAATATTTTAATTTATTTATTAACCAGGTACAGGAATATAGATGACGTCATCATCTGTCTTGTCTCGAGTCCTGTCCTGCAAAAAGTTCATCGTGTGAATGCACCTTAAAAGAGGCCCTCGCTTATTTACTGTAGGTGTCCAGCTGTCCATGATACCGTAGTATACATTGTACAATGTACAACTGAGTGATAATTATCATAATTGTATGTAGGTATAGTGTCCTATTCAGTAGTACGATAGCATAGACAAGGACTGCTAAAAATAAGATAAATGGATTATGAAAAAAGTGTTCGAGCATGCGTAAATCTACCCATCTTAGTAGATGGCGCGAAAATGGTTCCTTGCAAAAAAATTCTTTAATTATTTACATTCATTGCTTCTGCTCCGAACCGTATAAAACTGGAGAAAAATCACATAGGTCACTCAGTGCATTGCATTTCTATATAGTCCTAAGCTATAGGATCATAATCAGCATCACTTGACGTATTTAAATTGATTGTACACTTATTGAACTATATCGTTGACAATTAAGTTGAGTTGATGTCTTACTGAATCGTTAGCGGAGAAAAATTCATTTTTTTTTTAAATCGATCCATCGTACCGTCTTTTACAGAAAGAATGGTGGCGGTTGATAGGTTGATATATAGCGCTGCTCTGTGCTCTAATCTATCAAATTATATAGTATCTATACAGTAAACACTACTGTACGGTCTGTTGCTAGTAGTAGTACTAGTAACTTGACGAATTACGATTCCTGATGACATTGGAATTACTACTCCTTCCATGATTTTTTTTTTACCGCGAAAATATTGGCTATGCAGTATGTAGAGTACAATCATGATACAATATAGTGCTAGTTCTCAAAACAAGTGCAAATGCTTATACTGTATTATGTGGCTATTGAATTCTACCTGTACCACTACCATGGGCATGGTAGGAGACGAGTTGGCCAGCGTAAACTTAACGCTGTTCTTGATACGCGAACAGCTCTCATAGTAAGACAGTAGAGTATGAATTTGCGGTATGGCTCCGATACAGTACTCGACGGCTGGACCAGTTACAGTATGATGATTCAGCTCACGCTCCACGACAACTGCATCCCGGACAAAAACTCCATACTTACGGCATACAGTACAGCTTACTGTACAGTATATACTGTACAGCTTTTAGACAGTTCGAGCCAAACGTATTAGTACTGTACACTGTACAGTAGAACTCGTACGGCCTGCCCAGACCGTCATCGTTTCTTTGGTAGTCATCTTAAACCATCTAGCGCCACTTGATTGGAGAAAGGGAAGCCATGAGTGATCCAGAAATTTTACAGCCCTCTAGTTCAGGAGCTGCAGATGTTCCTTGTTCGAGCAGGTACAGTAGAAGAGTTGTAGTGCTATAGTATCATCAAGGTATAAAATAGTGGAAATAGCCGATTATAGATATTCAAGTAACCGGTGTCGTGGTTGATGGAGGGAAAAGTGATTTCATGTCCAGTGTAATGTTATTACTACTTTCCATTTTGAAGTTCTAGTAGCGATGAACCTGCTGAACTGATTACACGTGGTAAAAGACATTTATATTGCGAAGATTTTGAAGTAGCAACAACTTACTTCCAAGAAGCATGTGAGAAACTGTAGGTATCATCAATCTCCTGCTACTAAGTCTATTATATTATCTTCAAGTGATGGATGTAAAATTCTATTGACTGCTGAGCTTCATTTCACGCGTAATATCTATCATGCGATTCATGCCATTCATCATCATTTTCTACTCATGCCGACATCTCTAGTGATGCAGTTTATTTTAATAATTTTAAAATGATAGATGAAGGAAAACGTGTGATTAGCTGAATTATCTGTAGAATAACGCAAGCGTTAGCGACATCGATTGATCTATTGTAATGTGTATAGGAATGCTCCTGACCCTGATGATGACTAAAACCATTTCACTTCATTACCAAACGGCTAATCTGTCAACAATCGTTGCAACATTATTTCCGGTCGTACAATAATATACGGTACAAGTTATTTAGCGTGTTAACTTATTACAGTATATGCTAATATTCCAATGCAATTTCCGCATGGCTGTATCCAGTGTACTATCATTTTTAGAGCATTGTATTAGTCAGCCCGGAACAATAAACTAAAAGTTGATATTCTTGATAGTGCGTACTTGATACTTTATACCGTGCTCTTTAAAGGACTAATTGGACTAGAACCTCTACTATCGTTACTATACAATATCCAATAGTTCTGCCTTGCCTAAGAATTTACAGTTTTTGTCCCTTATGTAGTGAAAGATAGCCGTTAAACTGAAAAATTTCCACCTATAATTCCACTGCTTTATATCTAGACATCCAGACATTTTGATGAGTACTAATAGCGTTGTTGCGGAAGTTAAAACTGACCACCATCTACGATGATAAGTAATCAATGGGACATGTTTAGGGTCACTATTTTGTGCATTGCTGTAGAATTATTAACATTTGCTATTGATATTGCTATACTACTGTACAAGTCTACATGGATGTACTATAACTTCTATATAAGAGTGTGGTGAGATTGACTTCTGTGCTGTGGGTTCTGAATTAGATGGCTATTAGTTTACTATACAAGAATATATGCTAAAATTGCAGCATACACCTACATTCTGCTAAGGCACAGTTCCGCATTTCATTTGGTACAATAGGAAAAAACCATGAGTTTGTTATGCAGCTACGAAGAAAGAGTTAAAAATTTCCAGGATTTGGCGTTGATAATTTAATTAACTTATAAGTAACGTTATCGTTACTATAATTAGCCATTATAGTTCTTGCTACGTGTAAGCGTATGTGATGATTTAGTCAGGATGTTGTTTTGACTGGAATGGATATTATGTAGAACATTAGATGGAAATTGTTAGTTAAATTATTTTGTAATCCTTATAATCAATCATAGAGCAGCCAAATACGGCCAGGTTGCTGACGAATGCGGTGAAGCTTATTTTTATTATGGTAGATCACTACTAGAATTGGCGAGGTGAGAATACATTCTGCAGTTGTTATCATATTATTCCTTCGTTATAAATGAATAATTAGTTATATATATTTAGTATGCTAATTATGCTATCTAAAAACGGACCTATATTACCTAGTACTGACTATGAGTGAAAGTTTTATGCCGTAGTACTGTGTGAAAGCACACCATAGAGAGTTCTATCATATATTATGCTTACCAATCTTTTATTTGAAATCTATTCGAGGCACATCCCTGTGTAATAATTTTACTCGGGAGTCGGAAATTCAACACATTTGGTGGCATTTTTTGATTACATTACTAATCCTTATTTTATATATCCGTATTATTATAAAGACAAGATGCAAGCCTCTTTGATCCTACCAACGCTACCGGTATGATCTATTTCTATTTATTCATGTGTACACTGTAGTACAGTATATGATGACCGAACAGACAATAATGATGATAACTTATCAGTTTATGAGTATAAAACACTGTTTTCATTGTATTATACCCGTAGTATCGTTATATAATAATAATCTACAGTATATAACAAATATTCCTATACCCACATTGTTTAGGTAAAGCTGCAGCGGAGGATGCTGATGATAGTGAAGATAGCGATGGCAATAACGTATCTGCCCTACCAGGTTTGTTATTATTGTAGTGCAGTAGTATATACGTACAACGGTTTAGTCCTAAGGAATTGAAGTTGATATTTTAAAATAGCCAACTCGCCTGAACTATATTCTTACAAGATTTTATAATGTCTTTCATAACTTTGCTTTAATTTATGCAGTAGCGACAGCCAATCTTGACCCTGGATGGGGATCCTCAAGTCAAGATGACTGTGAATGTTGCAGTGGTAACAATGATACCAATGCAGGTTGGCCCTATTCAACTATAATTTATTTACAGTTTATCTTTCATTGTAAATGATGATCTAACCTTCCACGTGGTATTTACAATACGCATAGGAGATAATATTGCGAAAGAACAAATTCCCCAAGCAGTTGATGATGATTCCGGTGATGAAGATGTAAATAATTAATTAATTAATAATTTTTGCATATGAGTAGTAGCGGTGACCTTTTTTCTCTTTAAAAACAAATTTTTTACGAATTTTTACGTACTATCGTCGAATCAGCAAGGAAAAGAAGATGCAGGAGACACCAATGTTTTACAGTTAGCTTGGGAAATGTTGGAGCTTTCACGTATTATTTACTCGAGGTAGAATATTCATCTACAATAAGGAAAAAATTCATACGGAAACATTAGCAAGTATCTAAATTTTACCAGCACAATGTAATTACTTGTGAATTAAATATTCAGGAAGGACAATAAGGATTCGAAATTGCGTTCAAGTGAAATTTATCTCGAACTGGGACAAATTGGTCTAGAATCCGGTAAGGCCATGTCGAACTAGGTTATTCTGATATGCTTATATTTAATTTAACTAACTTTTTAACGGCTGTAAATTTTTTAGAGCAATATGATCAAGCTATTATTGACTTTAAAAGTGCCTTAAGTTTACAACTGCAGACGTTAGAGTCAGATAGTAGACTGATATCATTATCGTATCCTTTCTCTATTTACTTCCTCAGCAATTTACGTGAATTATCTTTAAAATCAATTATAATGTACTTTGCATGTAATTATGCGTATTTGCTGCTGATAAAAAGGGAGTAGATTCCTTTACTTGGTAGACATTATAATATTGCCCTAGCCTACTTATACAACAGACAATATGATGAAGCGGTAGAAGTAAGTACATTTATACTCCCAGCTATTTTCTATCTAAATCTGAAGTAAACGTAAAATACATAAAATTAATAAATTGTTGAAACTTCTTTTAACAGTCCTTTACTGGCGCAGTTGCTGTTGTAAAAAATAGATTAGGTTTGTATGATCTGATTTAAGCGGTAATAACATGCCGTTGTGTAATGCCAATTGTGTTATTAATTTGTCAAATTTACTCCTTTAGCAAACCTTGCAGAGGTTATCGAGAATCATGGTGGCACTGGAAAAAGTTAGTAAAGATCACTTAAAAGTTGAGATTTCTGTGTATATAGAAAAAGGGCGTAACTGTGACTGAAGTTTGACGGTGATATCTTCGTAGAACCTGATGAATTAACCAAGGAGAGGAGAGAAGTTGAAGAATTGCAAAGCATTATTCCAGATATTAATGCAAAGGTAATAGTGTACTTGTTTTACTATAATCGTGACGTGAAATGTTGTCATCGTTATTGGATAATACTGTTATAAGAGTACTATTTTAAGACTATCTACTAAATTTTGTTGGCTAGATCGAGGATGCAAAAGAAGAAAAAAGACAGTTAATTGCTAGTAGTGCTGCCAGCGTAAAGCAATTAATGGAGTCTGCGCTTGGTGATAATTTTGGTATGCAATCTTCTAGTTCTGGTAATGCACAGGCGACAAGTATTAATCACTTGGTTCGTAGAAAGGTAAACTTGATTTATGTATCCGAGATACAAAGATTTCAATTAACTCAGCTATCTTTTTAGGCAATTTTATCATTTCACTTACTCTACGTTAGAGCATTTTTACGTTTTTTATGAAATATTTTCCATTGGAATTGCTCACTTTTAGCGCAAAGATGAAGATAATAATGTAGATGTGAAGAAAGCGAAACTGGATGTAATTACTCAAGTAAGGAGTGTAATATTGATATTTTTGAGTATTTAAGCTTATGAATGTATAGATTTAGATGCTATTCTTGTACTGTACTTTGATCACATGTAGGAAGCGTCAACTGAAAGTGAAAGAGAATCCGTACAAGAAAGCAAGGAAGACTAATGTCAATAACATTAATCTAAATTATACTTACATTAAAAGAATGAATGTTGTTGGAATTCTCATAAAATTGTGTTTATAGTTTTGTCCGATTGAATTAATCATGTGTAAGGTATTCATCTCGATTTAATTGTTCGAATAAGCGAAACCTGGTTGCATGCGTTGCTAAGAAAATTTCGATTGCAATGTTTGTTTTTATTGTTTGCTGGTTACGAAAAGTATTTCCGTTAGACTCTCGGAAAAGTTGCTTTTTGATGTATCTTTGAAGGGGAAAATGTTCCATTTAACTGTAATTTATTGACATACCTTCTTCAGTGGTTTAGTGAATAGTTCTAAAATATTTTGAAGCTCCTTATCCGGACACTATTGTCTATATTTAAGGTTGCATATGCGTATGTAGACCGTATTACCCATAATTATATTCATTAAAAGTTAAAAAATCTAGTTTATTTACAAGTATTTTAATAATATGTTACCAATGTAGAACTGTAGGTTATTACCAAAATAGTAATTCAAAAATTGAACTGTCCTATGTAAGCTGCAAAACGTAATCTATATAAAATGTTTGAGCTAAATTTATATATGTTTCACATCGATTGCCTTTGCTGAAAGTTCCCTGTAATGGTTCGTAACTTTTAGTAAAACATTGTACGTCTTGATACTGTATTACTAGATCTATTGAGTAGTGTCTTGAATACGTATACTGGTCGAGTACTAATTTTATTATTTGTTCCTAATTGGTTGTAACATTAGATTCAACTAGGAGTCAAATTATTAGATATAATAATAATCACCGGAGATGCTATTAGAATACCGTAGTTGCAACTGGTAGTAATAGTTTACTTACACTCGAATAAATAGAAATTATGCTAAATCTTCCTATCAAATTTCTTTCAATTTTTTTTTATGTAAATTGGAACTCTTAGCAAATTGACTTTTTACAATTTGTAGTGGCATCGTTTTTCTATTTAAATGTATTCGGTTTCGACAGTCTCTTAATCCTAGTATTTTTGAAACTGATTCAGTCAATTCTTTATCTTGATTACTGTGTTTAAAAGAATAATAAGCAAAAATGAAACCAGTCATATACGCATCGAATCCTGCTCTATGGATTCCTGAACGATGAAGTAAGAGCTTTCGATTTACTTGATTACAAGTTTCACTTTTAGCTTTTTCGGTGGCTTCACCTAAGTGTGTAGCAACAGAAAACAAATAAATCTATCGCTAATTGACCTGATACAGAGTGAGAAAATGATGCGTACGTATAATATTGCAAATGGTACCGTTATCATTCTCAATCTTTCTCTTTTTCGATCGTTTATTTGTCAACGCTTGTTCTTCCATAAATAATACATCGTCTATGTTATGTGATTTGTTGCACTCTATTCCAGATGGACAGTATCCACGAGTCTAGCGAAAGATAACAGAAGTTGAGTAACGACTTTATTTATTCATTATAACGATAATGGAAATGATGGCAAGATCGGATTAATTACAAAATATCGATTATATTTAATTATTTTTCTTAATAACTACGCCTCCATGTAGAAGAGGATTTTTGATACAGTATCATTCGTTTTAAAGCTAATTAGAATTAACTGAAGGTACGGTAATTATTGTGCATTGCCGTAAAGTCAATGATACAAATATTTTTATATTGCACGTACAAATATCCACTTTATTCTATATTAAATCAAATAATATGTGTGTGCTGTGATCATTGCAACTAAAGCATTCTTATACGTTAGTAAAGTCAGAAAGTGGTAAAATTTAAAATTGCTTCCTATCAACTCCTTTAAATCTAATTTACAGTACTTCAATTACGTGAATAAAGAAATTACAGTGTAAAATTTAATCAATTGTAATACTACGATTAAAAATTAGCACTTGCTTACATACCGCAAACGGTTGGCACACGTTGACCGGCCTGCTAAGATTGGTCTCGGAATCGAATGGAAAAACAGAGCAATCCACCAAGTCAATACTTTCATGAAGTATCTTTGGATAATCACACTGCTTTGTTATAATATGTCTGTCATTATTACTGCGATTTTGCACATTTTCTCTTTGCCTGTAGTGCAAATAGTGAAATAATAAAATTCTTTATATATGACTGACATTAGCAATTTACTGCAAATAAGAAAAATTATATGCAAAGCATAAATTTCATAACCACGTAGCCACTTACAGTTTTCTAAAAACATATTGTAGATATGTACTACTTTCATCGCCTTTCACTCTAGCAATATATTTTGTGTCATAGATACCGCCTTCGAACATTTCAGATAAGTCAGCAACAAAAGTGTCTAATTTTAAAGGAAGCTCTAAATACAGATTTTGGTATAAAAAGACTAGATCGGCTAATCCATTATGAACAATAATAGGCTTTTTAGATTTGATGAGTTCCAAGAGTAATCGACGTAAGTAATTTCCAATTTTAGGATTTTCATCACCGGTCTAATAAAGATTAATACATTGCGATTATTTCCTGATATATTGTTATAGTCTGTTTTGTAATGAATAATACTGCATCTCTAGTAGTGCAATAGCACCTCGCTAGCAAAACAATAAATTCCACAAAAATATTTTAAGACTATCCTGTTTACCTTATCGTTTCCTCTACGAAATGAAATGCCAGATGAATATTGTCGGTTGAAATTAAATCCATGATGTACTAGAAATTGCAATGACTCTGGATCTACTGTGTAAGCTTCGTCGCACAGCGTCATCATGTTAAATGTCTGTGTCATTACGGTAGTATATTCTGCATCGCCGTCTTCATTGTCGTATACTTGTAGCCTGTGAAAGCAGGATATGCCTAGAGCTATGATAGCTCTTGTCGCAGCAACGTGACTGAGGACTTTATATCGATCATCCAACGAGCTAAAGGAATGGATTACACAATGTTAATCGCCTATCTAGGTTATTCAAATTAACCAAATGCGTTCTACTGCATCTGCTAAACTTCATGCGAGCCATTAAACGATGTGCAAGCACGCATACTATATTTTGCATACTAGTGATTGAATTTTTATTTCAGAAATACCAAACAGATTCGACATAAAGGAGCTGGCAATATAAAGAACTTTTGTCATGACTCGCGTATAATTTGGCATCAACACCAACCAGGTAGATTGACAGCATATTGATTGCACTTTCTTCAAGGATGAAATAGCTGACAATTGCGAAAATTTCCCATAAAGTAACAGTAGATCAACTGTGATGTTGATAACGACTACAGTACTCGTATACAAAGTACGATATACAGTACAGTAAGTCGCACAGTTTTTGTACATATTATATAATTATTATTCATGCATAGTAGAACATAAACCTACGTACAGTAGATAAAAAGTTACAGTAAATTATAATTATTTAAGATCTCTGAATGATATATAGGTCCATAGTTATGCTAGAAGTTAATCCTGCAATGATTGCGTACACTTCTCATTGGTATAACACAATTTTTCAAGTGCATTTTTCAAAAATTTTCTACTTACGCCGCTCCAAGATCCTTTCTATTCCCGAGGCCGCTTAATTCCTAGACAGAAGGTTACAATATACCACGAATTAATTGATCAAAGCTAACACTTGGACAATACTTTACAGCTATCGTATATCAGTGGATTTCACCATTCTCTTAATTCGTTAATACGTATAACAAAAGATTGGAATAGTCGAAATATCTATAGCTAAAGTTATTGCTGTTCAAATTGCGATGAGACAACAACTATACTCTAATCTAGCGGATGTACCGGGAATCTAGTAATCCATTTCCCCCTTAACAGTTCGACACGTACAGAAGATATCAAATCTCAGTAAATTTGATGATACTCACCAGATCGATTGCCACGAAACTAGCAGAATTAATAGCATGTATAATGCTTGGAAATAGTTGTTTTACATTGGATTTATCAACAATAACCACGGCAACCTTCCACGGAAGCACTAGTTGGCTCATCGCAGAGCTATGCATACTTGCTTTGGACTTTCCGAGCATGGAGTTTTCAACGAACATAGTGAGCGCTTTGCTTACGATTAACTGTGTAATATACAATATACTGTAAACATGTGGGCGCTGAAGTATGTTTTGGGTTACATGATAGCGGTTTTACCATCAGAAGTATTGAATAGGTTGGACCAATCTGAGACTGTAGCTGACATGATAATGGTATTAGTTCTAGTATGTACAATTCAGTAGTATAGTACAGTATGCGTTGCAATGTACTATTCTAAACAGTATATTAATATAGTTAGAGTCCATAATGCACTCCACTCCGTAGGTTAATAGTTAGTTCGCCTACGTTGCAATGGCTGCAGCTTCATAAGCTTGACAAGTTTGCAACAAGTTTTAATGATGCAACTCTTATTCAATTAGTAAACTATGAAGCTAAGTTAATTAAATGGTCATAGAATATAGCTGTCAAGTGCTAAAAGTTAGTTTTCAAACGGATCGGTATTAAGACATCATTTGTGGCTCTTCTCGTTGAAGTACTGTCCCCATGCAAAGATGGACCTCGATCGGCATAAACTATTCTTACTGATCTTGGTAGTTTATCACTTAGTTGCAATAGGGCTATTTGCTAAAGGCTACTTTCCTATTAAGACTAATGCTGCAGGGTACTCTACTTTAGTGACTACTCCACCAGAACCGTATAAACCGGCTAGATGCGATGGAGTATGGTGTGGCAGCAATTATACAATACCACCTCAATTTGGTCGATTGGTCATTATGGTCATCGATGCTTTACGAGCTGATTTTATCTTAAGTCAAACTCAACGTATGCAATTTGTTGAGCAGTTAATTAATTCACGTCAAGCACTAGCGTAAGTAGATAATGACAGAGACCTAGTAAATTTGATGTTATCAGTAATTAAATCAAACATCGTAATAAATCAGCAATCATGATGATACGCGCATAGATATTCACTTCTTACTGCACAAGGTGTAATGATTTGCAGGCCTGGTTGCAAACGTTGAAGAGATCAGAGACCAGACCGTCAATATACCAATAGTCACAATGTATATTAGTAGATCAATTACAGAGCTATTCCCTGATAGCATATTCTAATTAATTAAAATGAATGCATGTATTAATGTAACCTGAAAAGCTCATCGATATCAACTACCTATTTCTAGGTATCCGGTCAAAACTCATACACCTACAGTTACTACTCCAAGAATTAAGGTACATTACTTCATATTGACTGCTGTGATGCATAACCACCAACTTAAAGAGTTACTTAATTGGTTTATTTTACTTTAATCAGTTATTAACAGGTAAGGTAGGTAGCTACTGTAGTTATATTGGAGGAGATAACATTTTACGGAAATATAATGCATAAATTTAGTTTATCTCTGATGACTCTTTTGACATTATTGGTATTCATTCCAGTCTATGACTAGCGGAAGTATACCTGGCTTTTCGGATTTTTTTGGTAATATGGCATCAACTTCTTTGAATGATGATAATATTTTATCGCAATTTCTCCGTGCAAAATGGAATATCACTTTCTTTGGCGATGATACCTGGGTGAAATTATTTCCTAAGTAAGCCTGATATTGCCTATGCGGGTATATTTGTTTGACAATCATTTCACTTCTTCTTATAGCATTTAATAATGACTTAATTTGTTTATGATATTGATAAGGCACTTTCTGCGAAAAGATGGCGTCATTTCTTTTTTTGTTTCGGATTTTTATGAGGTAAAAATCGTTTTGTAGGCCTGCTGTATATTGTTAGTTTGTTGCTGGACCATTGATATCATAGTAGCTTTTCTTGCATGGTAGTTGATAATTTTACAATTGCGTTGAATTAACAGTAATTTAACTGATACGTATATATTTACTACGCGACGTAGGTTGATAATAATGTGACTCGCCACGTTCGACCTGAATTACGTCGAAAAGATTGGCAAGTGATGATCCTTCATTACCTCGGATTAGATCATATTGGTCATACGGCCCGACCAAGCAGTCCCCTTGTAGTACCAAAATTGAAGGAAATGGACGACATTGTTAAAGTTATCTATAATGCCTTGGAGGATCAGGTAAACTAAACTATTATATATAATTTAGTGGTACCTTTGAAAAGTTAGTACCCAGTATAAACTATTAGCTTTCTATGTTAAATAATCTAATTAGTGGAAAATCCAAGTTTAATATCTAATCTTTAAATACGTTGTAATGTTCAGGATAAACATACGAAATTACCTTCATTGTTTGTGCTGTGTGGTGATCATGGCATGAGCGATACTGGCAGCCATGGCGGTGCATCATATGCAGAAATAATGACACCATTTGTCTTTATGAGTCCCACCTTTGCCGACAAATCCTTACCTTCATCCCCCAAAAGCAGCACGGTAGATAAGCTGTTACAAAAGCAAGTTAATCAAATTGATTTTGTGCCAACAATTTCAACGCTTTTTGGCTTTCCTATCCCAAAGAATAATTTGGGTGTTGTTATTAACGAGTTAACTAGCGTCAACTATGAAGATGATCTTGAGTCTTTAAGGTATAAATTAAGATCTCTTCAGTTAAATATCGATCAACTGATGGTCATCTGTAAGAAAAATATTCCATCAGGTATATACCTTAAGATATTTTACTGAAAGCTTCACTCAATGTTATTGCTATATGTTAATGAATAATCTTACGATATATTTTGAATGACTAGATTCACTATGGCGTCATTATCAACATATTCAGCAGTCACATAGTGATTGGCTTCGAGAGTACCATCGATCAAATCACTCAAATAGTAATCACCTAATTGTGAAAGCAGAACATATTATAAATCTGTATTCTGACCAATTACATGCTGTAAGTGATAGATTGGTTGCTTCTTTATCTAATTACGACCTTTATACTATGGCTATTGGACTTTTATTACAATTTGAGGTACTGTAATTCCATACTATACTATATACGCTATGTGTACGTATATGTATGCATAGGAATTAATGCAGCATCATATTAGAAAATTTTCTGTTTGAATAATTTCTGTTAACCTTCTTTATGATTGATTAAGGTATATTTTTTCCTGCTCTATGGATTTATCCACTTTCAGTTATTTCGATCATTTCCACAGACCCTCCCTATAGAAAAGCTTACAAGCACCGTTGCTGGTTTTATATTCTTTATTTGCTCTTCTTTGATTATGCTAATACATTTAGTATTGTGCACAGGTTTAAATTTTACTAAAAGCGCATTGTGTAGGTAAGTATCCGAAAAAATTGATGCCGTAGGACTTATTCCTTTTATTTACGGATAACTATACACTAATTTATTTAAACTTTTTAGTACATCCGTTATAGAATCTATCTGTGTTCTAATTACTGTATGCGGCTTCGGTTATGGAATAGCGAATTTTCTATGTTGCTTAAGTTCAGCTGCAGTTTTGGCAAAGGACTTTAAAAGAATGGTTATAGACTTTTGTAGGCTTGATACAGCATTTCAATTTCTGATTATTAGCATTATCTTTCATACATTTACGCTATTTTCCAGTAGCTTTATCGAGGAAGAACACCAGGTAACATTCTAATTATTATAGAAGAATTTTATGGTTGATTAAGATGAGCATGTCGGTAAATAAACTGTCCAATTTATATCTATCCATAATTACAATAGACATGGTATTACATATGCCCGACGTTCTTTGCGATGTTATCACTATCCTTTTTAAGACAGTATTTCTCAGAGACTCGTTGGGGTGAGAATGTTATTGCTAAAGCATCTTCGAGGACTATTCCTTCCCGAAGTGGAACAAGACGTATCCGCAAGATTGTTAGTAGCTCACACTATGATCAAACTGCCCATTCTGGACCTGTTTTTCATCAAGATAGGATGGGCATGGCTGCAAATCTAACTAATTTTGAAGACCAAAGACTCCAATCTTTTGTCTCTACCTCCGACTTTGATGACAGTACAACTACTGATAAAGTCTCCATTTGGCAAGCGAAGAAGGAAATTCTTTGTTCTACTTGCATTTTGGCCTGCAGCCGTCTTATCAGGTCGTGGAATCGAACAGGTGATAAATGGTCCCATCTTCCAGACGTCGGAGACTGGCTAAATTTGTAAGTAATTAGTTTATAGATGTAAATTTTCATGGTACTGCATATAATGCAATGAGAATAATTAAAAATGGTCTTAAATTTTGTTATGGAATAGACCCGATAACAAAGTTATTTTATCAATTACTTCCCTCCTGTCTTTATTGGCAATTCATATTTTACGCACGACGTGCCATACAAAGTTCGAACAAGTAATTATAGCTTGCGGACTTTTATGCTGTTATGCATATCGAGCAGCACTTGGAACTACTATCTTACCTATACCTCTATCTAATATGTAAGTAAAAATAGTTTACTGTGTAGTTAGCTTCACAGTGATGCTACTGATACATATTGCAATGTTGCAACTATTAGGGGTATCATAGAAGCGAGGATAACTTATCTGTGTATACTTACCCTTCTCATTCGGTCATTCATTTTTTGTCGATGTGAGGAACATAGACCTTTTTCTTTGTAATTTGAATTATCTTACTATGAATTGGAGCGAACCTACTAATTGCTAAGTACTTTACAGGTAAAGTAAAGAAGTTGGACTTGATATTTTCTGGAGTAGTTTTATTATCGGTGCTGTTAGCGCGATGTCACAATGCGACAATTTTGGCCATGGTATTACTGCAGATATATTTACTCGACAAAGTCATTTGGCCAAAGTATACAATATGTTATAGAACTAAGGATTATTATATAATTTATTCGATGCTACTTTTACTAATATCGACAAAAACATTTTTTTGCAACAGGTTGAGAATTTCTTCCTTACTCGTAGCCTGTGCTCATTATAGTATTGGGCAAGCATGCTATTTCGCACTTGTTAGTCTACAGTATGATCTAACATTCCTTTTAATAGAACTATATATTAAACTAAGCCGAGCTATTGTTTTGTTTAGGGAAATTCTAATAGTTTGGCCACAGTTGATATTTCAGCTGGATTCGTTGGATTAAGAGGGCACAATGATATTGCAATGGTAATATTAACGTTTGTCGGTACCTACACTGGTCAACTAATCGGAGCCATGTCCTTTATCATATACAGTTTAAAACAGAGGTTTGCAACCTAAATATGCGTGCATTGACTTCGTTAAATATGGACGTATTTATTCGAAGGGCTAATTAGTATCTCTATATGTTTTACTATCTTTACAGCAACAGCTATCTAAATTTATGGCAATATTGTGGTGTCCTGTTATTGTCCAGATCGCAAATTATTTCCTTCTATTATTTACTCGTTGATGTTATGAGATATCATCCATTTTCATGGAGTGTCTTTTTACCCAAGTTAATGTACGAAGGGGCTACCTCAATTGTCTATTGTTTACTGATTACCATTATATTATTTTCGATTGGGAAAGTTCAGAATTTTGAGTATTCTATTAAAACGTAATTATTACAAACTACTGCAGTCCTTTTTACTATCGAATGATTGACCGCTAGTATTGAAATACCAGCATGCCGTATTTCAATAGGCTGTTTAACGGTAAAGAATATCTTGTACTTAACATCATTTTCATGGTCGTCATATTCAAAGCAGATTAAGCTAAGTAAACAAGTTATATACGTTATCTTGCAAGAATGAAAGAGAATTTATTAAAATTAGAAAATGTGACTATTCATTTTCTGATTGAACTATAAGTAGCCTGTAATATATATTACTAGTTACAAACGAGCTATCAGGAGCTGTGATGCGGATTGTAACAAATTTTGTCCGGATACTGTTGCATTTTATGTACTATGATCGTCATCTATTAAATTGTACCCTAGCGCTGATACTAATACTATTATTTCTATTTTCTACTACCTCAATGACTGCTAGTGAGGCGGGGTTCGTGATATTTTTATGAACGATACCACCCGAATCATGAGTCAAAGTAGACAAATAACACTGTGTATGCGCTAAGTCGCGCCGAATGGTTAGGATGTAGAGTTGACGTATAATGTACATTGTGTATGCCAGTCACTGCAGTATTTTGGTGAAGATATCATTTCCCCTTTCATTGATAGTGCATAGTCTTACAATTTGTGGCTGTGAGACTCATATTGTATACAATATGTAATATGCAGATTAACCCTACTCTGTGACTGACTAGATAGATATTTAAACTTGTTGATTCGTTTAAACGTAACATCGAAATCCTTCTATTTCCTATCTCCGAGACTATCGAAGAAATGTAAATGACGGTGTACTGTATTGATTTTCGATTGCTTTCCTAAACTAGAATTTCAATTTCGAAGGTTAACATTATCATTACATTCGTACTTGTATTATGCATTAGTGCAGTCTCCATTATTATAAAATTTCTCTTAATTAAGTTGAGAATTTAGAGTTAATTATTTCATCGGATGTACAATTGTACAATAAATAAATTTGACATTATACAGTGACGCCTTTTCTCTCTCAATATTATAGTAAGACTATGTGAAACTAAAGTTACGTTCTATCCGAAGCGTATGGATATTGTATAATATTTCCTGCTAGCGTACAGTACATAAAGAATTATATTTATAGATAGTATGCACTGTAATATGTACGCACACACACAAAATCTTTTTTTTAATAATACAAGTACTGTACGTCACTTTATTTCATTTTTGCTTCGTTTTACATGGTTTTTTAGGTGCTTAGCGTGTTTTCAACATGATATATACTTTCAATGTCAGATACTGCGCAATACAACTTTATACAGTATAAGCAAGTAGAAAATGGAGCATTTATGCCATTCACATTACATATTTTATACACTATGTTATGCTATACTCTTTTTATGAGTAGCTGCTTCTATCAGGTCCATACTTACGCTCACACATTTCAGATAAGATAGTACAGTATTATTAGCTTTCTGCGTACTATTTTAGATACATTTTCTATACTAATTTGTAGTTCATTGCTTATAACTGTAAAGCGCACACACATCTGTAAAAGTGAGATGCGTAACAGGGACAGTATACTCGTATATAGATATCGATTATTATATATCAATAATTATATAACGGAAGTTATATTGCTATAATCATTGAATTAATTAATAAATTGGTTAATTCTTAAAAATCGAGGCACAGTATTATATACTCGTATGTAGATATAGATTATTATATATCAATAATTATAAAAAGGAAGTTACATTGCTATAATCATTGAATTAATTAATAAACTGGTTAATTCTTAAAAATCGAGGTGCAATATTCCCACGGTATATTGATAGTATCGCCGATTCCCTCACTAGGAGCACAGTATACAGTAGAGTACTGTATGCACGAGTCGGTTACAGACCACAACAGTATAGTATGTCAATATTTGTAACGAATGATAGGAACTGCTTACTGCCAACACAGTGACTAGTTGTACAGTTCTAGGTATTGTACAGTACAGTGTACAGTACAGGGTGCTACAACCCTACGATACTGTACTGGACTGGACCGGACTGGACGCTGGGTCCTTGCGCACGTGTACTGTAGTTAAATTACACCAACCAGTTGATGTCCTCTCCGATCAAGATTGGAGTACTTACTTACCTGCAGTTATTCATAGCAATACTCCCTTCATCATTCATTCTGGAAAGCCGGCTATTTTGCAATTTAGCCTGACATTCCTGTGAATGAGTTAGAAACTGATTGAATTGGTGCATGTGTAAATGGTGTTGCTTTATCGACTGCTGTACTGATAGCATTCCCGGAGAAATTACGTCATCATATTGGAATTGATTGATTGGAAAGAGAGTCAAGATGGATACAGCTAATTTTTTTATCAACCTCACCAAATTATCATCATGGTGTGAGAAGATTGGAGTAGATGAAGATATCATGTTGCCAGTAAGGCAATATGGAAGTAATCTTGTGAGTATCTTGAAATTACCTGTCTGCTATAGCTTATATTGGATCTTAAAACGAATTTGCACAACTTTGAAGCAGTCACTCATGTAATAGCTTACGGTGTTCTGCTAAATTTTACTCGTTGAACTAGAAATTAGAGCACTAAGCACAATATAGACCCGTACAGTATGTAAGTACAACGAAGGAACCAAGGCATGTTCCACGAAGTATATATGCTATACAGTACAATGTACCTAATAAAGGTATTTTCTATAACGATCACTCTGTTGACGTTTGGCAGAATTGAGGTGCAAAATAAGTAATAAATAGCTAGGTCAAATCTAATACACGTTGACCGATCAAGTTATTGCATGCATATTTGCACAGTATCATGTACCCGTACGAGTACCAGTACAACTATGCTTGATTTAAATCCTAAACTAGACAACTGTACTACTGTATACATATCTAAATCGATTTTGCCATTCAAAGTCATTTATAGTTTAACAACTTGAGACCGCCTGGCTTTTATAGCTTACTAGTAGCTATATTTATATAAAATAAAACCTACTATCAACCTTAAAACCGTGTTGTGCACGTTGACTGGATATGCTTGATGGATATCCAATTCAGCAATCGAAATAGTTACTTCATTGCTGGTCTGATATAAAGCAGAAATTTTCTACGGTAATATAGGTGCTCACTTTAATATACAATATCTAAGATCGATTGCATTTATGCTCAATGTGTAATTAAGTATTTTAAAGTTATTAGTCTTTTATGCTTTTACTGAATACTACGGCTAAGAAATTGAATGAATATCAACGTCATGCAGCATATACACACATAATACGCATATGCTTGATGGTATACGGTCCAGCAGTAAAAGCATTTACTGCGACAGCATAGTATTGTGCTGTATATAGTACAAATTAATGTGATGGGTAGAATCGATTTCTGGTTACACACCGTTTGTAGCATTACCTTGCAACTACTGGACATGCTTGAACTCCACGAAATACTCAATCAATTGATTATATACCCGTATGTAATTATTTATTGAATATATATTGTGGATTCGTGTACCCAATTTCGGGTCAAGTATCGCCACTACTGAAAGTTATCTCAGCTAACGCGCATTTTATCGACATTTTAAACTACAAAAACTAATTGAACTTAAAAAAGTTCATTTATTTTGCTCTGCTTTCGTATATTTAGCTCAACAATGAAAATGCTAATAATTGAATGAATAAGCTAATACTGTAGAAAATATATATCACATAATTATAATTTTAAGAGTGCTTGATACCATAAAAGACATTCATTGCCACTAGATTGCGAATTATGAGTAAAATTCCAACTTATATATCATCAGTAATTATAATTGACGCCTTAAATTAAACTTTTTAATTGTATCGGTGTACTAAACCATGGCTTTTTTTGTTCTAGGACGTCCAACTTTTACTCGATAAAGTTGCTGATATGTTACTGGACACAAAATTAACTTTACATGTTGCTTCAGCTTTTCGTGCGATTATCCTTGACTTGATCGAAAGATGTAATCGGCGTTGCCCTAAGTCGCAAGAATTCAATTGGCTATGGCATCAGCATTTTTCTTATTGCCTGAGTCGAATTTTACCACAGACTCCACGTATTCTTCCGTAAGCTATTAATACTGTACAGAGACATATTACTTACAATATGGATGATTATGTCATAACAACTTCAGTCTAAAATCCTTCAGTACTGTACTAAGATAAAATAATATTACATACACACACGATTAGACTACTTTGTGGTTATGATGATGTGTTCAATGCTACATTATTCATTTCAGATTTGTTGTAAAATATCTAAAATCGAATCCACCTTTTTTTTATCAACTTTGTGAAAATAATAAGGTAAATTGTTAAGATCAGCTTAATTATCTAAAAAATTATATGTATGTACGTATATAATGATATTGCATCTATGTGATCTACCGTAATGTTTTTCTAACTATTTTTAACCCTTATTATGCATTCTTGTAAATATCAACGCATTAGATGGATGATGAAGAATGTTGCATCATAGCGGAGACAGCATTTAGGTTATACAAATCTTACATTGGTTATTACTGAAAAGAATCAAAATTCATTCATGTCAATATAATTCTTTATTGGAACATTTTTATATAGACTTCTTCGATATTCGAGAGAAACTTTTGTACACTTTTACGATTGGTCCAAGTTTTTGCAACTTATCGATCATCCATGTTCAGACTTAAGATGGTATGTACGATTTTTGTGCGGCAACAGTCCTTAATGGGCCCAAATGTATATTTCTATACAACTTAATGTTCGATGTATGGGAAATATTAACTGAATTAGCATTCGCATTGATAAATGTTCTTTCTAAGATATATTTCGATATGATAATGCAATGAAATGTTACGGTATGCCGTAAATCTTATATTTTTAACTCTTTAATATTGGTTATAAGGTTAATTGCCCAATGTTATGCTATAACAACCAAATTAAATAATGGCGCCTGCCGCAAATTTGTGAGCTCATTGGTGCCATCCGAAATTGATGATCGTCTCACTTTAAGGTACGTTCATATATTTTTATGGCTGTCACTGACATGTACATAAACTGAATTCAACCGACATCAATGTGCAACTGTTTTATTATAATTTCCTATGTGGAAATATTTTATTCAGTTCTCATTATAATACTAAAATTTCGTTTCATTTTTAGATTTCTCTATTGTGTGCCGTTCGAAAAAGAACTTTCGATGATTGATATAGTACTTGAAAAAGAAAGAGATTCAGAAAATAGTGTTGAAAATTTTTTGGAAATACCATCATCCTCTTTGGTAGATACTGTAGTTAACGTTTGCGGAGTTCTTTTACCAATCTGCTCAGCGAAAAGTAATGAGGTAAACGATAATACTAATTTACCTTATCAATTAACTATTCATCGTATGGGTGATATGGCTTGTCATAAGTGAACATGGTATTTGCTTACATTAGGAAATATTCCAAACCAATCGTACAGTGCTCGTTGATACAACATCTCGAGTATTACAAATATTGGCATTAGCTATTTCTTCTGGTTCATCAATTTTACTTGAAGGTTACGTAGGATCTGGTAAGACCATGATCATCGAATATTTAGCAAAAGTGACAGGACGCATAGGCCCACCCAATTTTATCAAAGTCCAAATGAGCGATCAAATGGATAGTAAAGTAAGAACTCATAAAATAGTCTTTTAGCATTGTAATTTTGTCAACTCCTGGACGCGTATATATTAAATTTTTTGATCCGGGATTGCGACTGTAATATGTATATGTTGCGTATCATAAAGTCTCTATTAGGTGCGTATTGTTGTACTAACGTACCTGGAGAATTTGTATGGAGGCCCGGTGCTTTAACTCGTGTAAGCATATAATGCCTTATCGTCTTTAATCTGTCAGCTTCTGTTAAGGCTTAGGGTAACATCATGCTTGATAGCGTTAACTAGATGCTATAAAAATTAAAGACAGTTTCCTTTTTCAGGCGGTGCAAGAAGGATATTGGCTTCTCTTAGAAGATATTGATTGTGCTCCAATGGATGTTGTAAGCTTTCGGTTCAAGTTGAAATATTTCTCTTAACATAGAGTAGCTGTTTTAATTTAATCGATTTTTATTGCCTTATTCTATCAAAGATTTCGATTCTGCTTCCATTGCTTGAGACCGGCCGCTTAACTATTTTAGAACAAAATGCAGTAATTAGAGTACATCCTGACTTTCGACTCTTTGCGACATACAGGTTAGCATAGATATGTCACGGCTAATTGAAAGGTTACTGGGATTGGCTTAATTGTTTTATACTATATAGATTGCCACTAGATGAGAAAGAAGGTTACACCCCGAATATGTACAGCGAATTTACATTACTCTGTTTGTACTTGACAAGAGTCCATCTGCCAAGTTTAACTGATATTGAGTTAATGAAGGTATATATCGTGTGTATAGAATAACATTTCGATTATAGAATGTATCTTTATTCATGTCTCTCGTTAGGTATGCACCGCTTTTGAATGTAAAAATACTCTTACGTTATTGCTGCTTAAGGTGGCTACCATCCGATTTCCTAATATAACCACCATCCTTAAGAAGATTCTAGAGGTTTACGAAATACTAAGAGAGGAAAAACGCAATCTAAGTGGTAGTTATTTCTGCGGTAGTACACGATTATTATCTACGAGGTATATGTGCATTTTTAAAATGAACGAATTTGAGATTGCTGCACCCTATGTTATTGTTAAATGGAAGAAATGCAGAGGTTTTGCAATAACTCATAGACTTATTCTATCCTATATGTAGAGATTTCATGAAATGTTGCAATCGAATAGCATCAGCTATACAATCTTATTCTTGGTCCGGCATTGAAGCTGTTGAAATTTTTCAGGAGGTGTGCAAACAAATTCGCCAAAAATAGTTTATTCTCCAGTTATAATTCTACTTTTTCGGTAGGTGTACGACTGCTTCTGTTCTGCTGTCGCTGCACGCGACGAAAGGTTGCTGATATTGCATACGATTGGAGGAAAATTCGGATTATCAAAAGATAAAGTACGCTACACAGTTCGATACTTGGACACAATACAGCTATAGCATTCTTTGTATTTCGTCATTTAAAAGTTAATAAGAATATTAATATTTTAAATGTTATAGGTAGAATACATATTCCGTAAATATAAACCGCAAATACAAAGTAATTCGGACTCAATAACTATCGGTAATACTATTATTGGCAAAGTTAGAAGCAAGCGTAATTTGTTATCATGGTAAGTTAGCACTTACTAAGCTATGGAACCTCATTAGGAAAATAGTAAATTTTTGGTAGATTGGCATCTTTAATGGCTATTGTTGGCTAAGATCTTTTAATTCGATGTAATACGTTGTAGGAATGATGTTAACATTAAAAGATTTTCATTTACAAGACAAGCATGCATTCTGTTGGAACGTATTACAAAGTGCATTAAACTGCAGGAACCAGTTCTTCTAGTTGGTGAGACTGGTACTGGTAAAACAAGTACTATTCAATTTCTAGCTCGAGAATTAGGTAAGATCATTAGTGCTTCTACTAATTGTGTAGGCTCACAGTAAGTAATTTTGTATATATTCGTTGCTATTAAACCCTTAGGTCACAAATTAACTGTCATTAATATGAGTCAGCAAAGTGATACCGTTGATTTATTAGGCGGGTAGGTCTACAGTTACTTTATTGTATAATATGATTGAATTATGCCATTATGATAAATTAATGATTTAATTTCAAATTAGATTTAAGCCTGCCGAATTAAGATATGTAATTACCCCATTCCGTCAAAAGTTTGAGACCTTATTTTGCCAAACCTTCTCAAAGAAGCAGAATATAAAATTTCTTGGCCATATTCAAGTGAGTTGCTATCATTGAGCCTTCCAACTAACGCTGTTAATCATAAGACAACTATGTAAAATTTTATCTTAGGAATCATTTAGACGCCAAGAATGGAATGCAATTTTAAAACTTTGCGAACACGCTATAGTTTCTGCTATAACAAAATTAGGTATATTATAATTAAGCAGTATGTAGGGATTTCCCAATGATTAAATGTAATGTGCTATACATCATTAATCTAGCAGATACTAGCCATAAAGATACTTTAAGAAGTAATTGGGTCGAACTAAAAAGCGAAATAGATACACTGAAAAAGCAGATTAAATTCGTTGAAAGTGCGCTGCTATTCTCCTTTAAAGAAGTAGGTCGAAAAAGATGTATGCTTAATTAATTTATTTCCGGGCCATTAATTTCCTAAACTGATTGATTTTATTGTAGGGCGCCTTAACAGAAGCCTTAAAAAATGGTGAATGGATATTATTAGATGAAATTAACTTGGCTTCATCTGAAACGCTAGAGTGCTTAAATAGCATATTGGAAAGCAAATTTGGTTCTATTGCTTTGACAGAGAAAGGAGATATAATGCCTGTCCTGAGACAAGAAGGATTTCATTTATTTGCTTGTATGAATCCCGCTAACGATATTGGTAAAAAGGACATCCCTACTGGTATTAGGAACAGATTCACAGAAGTATTTGTTGATGAGTTATTACACGAGAATGACCTAAAGATATTAGTTACAGATTATATGGAAGGTTTAGCGCTATCTGGCTTACAAATTGATGGTATAATAAAGTTTTATCTGCAAGCTAGAAAATTATCGGAAGTTTCTTTAAGTGATGGAACTGGACGTAGGCCTAATTTTACTCTTAGAACTTTATGTAGGGCATTAAACCTAGCATCAACTAACCCCTGTGGGACTAGTATTAGATCCTTGTACGAATGTTTTTGCGTAAGCTTTCTGACACAGCTGGATGCGCCTTCTCACGACATTGTTGAATCTTTGATCAGATCTTGCATTGTAAATACTAATTCCACCACAAGTATAAAGAATTCCGTGTTACAGATACCTCTGCCCCAGCCTCATGCTAGCAAGAATGTTCCGATTGAAGGATATTGGATCGATGCCGGAGAAAAAATTAAAAAAATCGATGAAAATTATATTATGACTCCAACTGTAAAGCAGCACTTGAAAGACCTTGCTAGAATAGTTTCTCTAAGTTACTTCCCTATACTATTACAGGGTGAAACTTCCGTTGGTAAAACAAGTCTTGTACATTGGCTAGCTGAGGCTACAGGTAATCATTGTGTACGTATTAATAATCATGAACATACCGATCTACAAGAATATATTGGATGTTACACTGCCAATGAGAATGGCAAACTATATTTTAAGGAAGGTATTCTGCCCATGGCTATGCGTAAAGGCTATTGGATTATATTGGATGAATTAAATCTCGCTCCAAGTGATGTATTAGAAGCTCTTAATCGAGTTTTAGATGATAACCGAGAACTTTTTATCACTGAAACACAGGAAGTAGTTCCAGCCCACCATCGGTTCAGAATTTTTGCTACGCAAAATCCTGCTGGTCATTACGGTGGAAGAAAGATTTTATCGAGAGCCTTTAGAAATCGTTTTATTGAATTACACTATGACGAAATTCCATCAAAAGAATTAATAACAATACTATGTGAACGTTGCAAACTTCCGGAATCGTATGGTCAGAAGCTTGTCAAAGTAATGCATAATCTACAGACACTTCGATGCCAGTCTAATGTTTTTGCTGGTAAAAGAGGCTTTATCACATTACGAGATTTGTTCCGTTGGGCTGAACGTTATCGCAATGCTGAAAGAAGTGATGAAAAAAAATTTTATGACTGGGATCAGCACCTGGCCGACGAAGGTTATATGCTGTTAGCAGGTAGAGTGCGCTGCGAAAGTGAAGAGCAAGTCATTATAGATGTTATCAAAAAGCACTTTAAAAGAGAAATTAACCCGGAATTACTATATGGATCAAATAATGAACGAATGCTTACTACTTCAACGCATTGGTCGGATACTACACGTACATCATTAAATGCTATTATGTCTTTACAGGATGGCTATACGGAGACACCACGTGTTGTACTAACCCATAATTTTCGAAGGCTCGCTGTTCTTGTTAGCCGTGCTTTGAGTTTTGGTGAACCTGTATTACTAGTAGGTGAAACTGGCTGCGGTAAAACGACTGTTTGTCAGGTATTTGCAGAATTATATAGGCAGGAATTGTTCACTGTCAATTGCCACATGCACACCGATACCGCTGATTTTATTGGTAACTTACGACCATTACGTCAGTGCGATACCACTGAAAGTGCAGATTCCAAAAATAGCATACTTTTTAAATGGTATGATGGTCCGCTAGTGACGGCTATGCAATCTGGAGGTATGTTTCTTATTGATGAGATATCCTTAGCTGATGATTCGGTGCTTGAAAGGTTGAATAGTGTCTTAGAGTCTGATAAGAGACTCTTAGTTTTAGCGGAAAAGGGGGCCACAAATGCTTCCTTAACTGATGAAGTTGAGCAGATTATCGCCCACCCTAAATTTAAAGTTGTCGCTACAATGAACCCTAGCGGTGACTATGGTAAGAAGGAGTTATCTCCAGCCCTTCGCAATCGATTTACAGAGATTTGGTGCCCAGTAACTAGTATTCGTCACGACTTAATGATGATTATCGAAAATAACTTAACGTTACCTACTAGCAGCGATGAAAAGAGATTAATAGGCCAAAATATCTTGAACTTTATTGATTGGTTTTCGAAATCAAAGTTAATTAATAACTTCGTATTTAGTATAAGGGATTTACTATCGTGGACTAATTTTATTAATGTATGTACTGCTAAATATGAAATGAATTCTTGCTTATCATACATACATGGGGCTTGTCTGGTTTTTATCGATGGTCTTGGTTCTGGCAGTGGATTGACCAATAATACTGCGTCTATTTCAAATAGCAGACAGAGTTGTTTTGACTTCATTATTAATCAAATTGCTAATACTAGTATCTATAATAACATACAGATTCAAGTAAACAAGATAGTCGGTAGTCAACCGAAAAATTTGATTATCAATTCATCACCCGAAATGTTTTCAATTGAATATTTTTCAATATCGAAAGGAAGTAAATATAGCTATGATAGCTTTAATTATGCAATAGAAGCTCCAACAACTATATTCAATGCGTTACGACTTCTGCGAGGATTGCAGCTAAATAAACCTATCCTACTAGAGGGCTCACCGGGTGTTGGTAAAACCAGCTTAGTAACAGCCCTTGCTAAAGCAACCCTTAATGAAGTAGTAAGGATAAATCTGTCTGAGCAAACCGATATTACTGATTTATTTGGCTGTGATCTTCCAGTTGAGGGTGGCAATAGCGGTGAATTTAGGTGGAGAGATGGCCCATTCTTATCGGCGTTAAAAGCAGGCAAATGGATATTACTAGATGAATTAAATTTAGCCTCGCAACCAGTCTTAGAGGGTCTTAATGCTTGTTTCGATCACAGAGGAGAAGTCTTTATTCCAGAGCTAGGTCTGACCTTTAATGTCCAACCAAATACTCGAATCTTTGCTTGCCAAAATCCTCTTGGACAAGGTGGTGGTAGAAAAGGCCTTCCCAAATCATTTATCAATCGCTTTACTCAGGTGTATATCGATCCATTGACGGAACAGGACTACTTATTTATTTGTAAAAGTACATATCCAACTTTAGATACTGATTTATTGCAGAAAATGATTACATTCAATTCTCTAATCTATAAAGAAGTCACGATTGAGCGTAAATGGGGTTTAACTGGTAATTTGTGGGAATTTAATTTAAGAGACTTGTTTCGCTGGTGCGAACTGTTGTATCGTTACCAAGAAATCGGTGAAGTAAACCCGGGACGCTTTGTTGAGTTAATTTATGCATCTAGAATGCGAACTGATGGTGATAGAGAAATGATATATAGATTATATAGTGAGTGCTTTTGTGATCAAGACAACCATTTGGATCCAAAGCTCCAGCTGTATAAATCTTGTCATCAATTTTGGCTGTCGTCTGACTTTGTTCAGCTTGGTTATACCTGTCTTCCGCGTCGCTTAATATCTGGCAATAACATTGAAAATAGGGAATACTACATTTTACAAAATATATTGCAGCCGCTAGAAGCTGTCGCAACGTGTATGGAGATGCAATGGATGCCTATAATAATTGGCAATAGTAGATGTGGTAAAAGTTCTTTAGTAAGGATACTTTCCGAACTTACTGGTAACATCTTAAAAGTGCTTCCTGTAAATAGTTCAATGGATACTACAGAATTGCTCGGAGGTTTCGAGCAGGTGTCAATAACGCGACATATAAAACAGTTAATAGAATCCATAGATAATCTGGTATTTTTATGCAGTAACAGATTTACATCGGAACAATTTAATCGAGATTCTGATATATCCAAGTTATTCTATAAGTGGCTGTCATTTAAGAATATATACGATAGTAACTTAGGGTTTGAAAATTCGTTTTGGCAAATAGTAGATTATCTGGACGATATCATAGATAACATAACGAAATCTTTTGAAGTATTTAGCTTTAATGATGATCTACAAAAGATACCAAGAGAAATTCAAAAGGTTAAGAAAATGTATCAACAACATGCGAATAAACTAGGAGGTCAATTTGAATGGATTGAAAGCATTGTAGTTGAAGCCATGAAGAATGGTTACTGGCTTCTCATTGACAACGCTAGTTTTTGTAATGCGTCAGTACTAGATCGTCTTAATCCGCTACTGGAACCTAACGGGTCTTTAGTAATTACCGAACGTGGCATGCTTGATGGTTCACTAGAAAACGTTCGACCACATCCTAATTTCCGAATCATTATGTGTGTTGACCCTAAGCATGGAGATCTATCAAGGGCTATGAGAAATCGTGGTATTGAGATATTTCTTAATGATTCTTTTAGCGTCCAAGATATTCATACATTATGTAGAGCCACTGGATTGCGCGATACTGCTATGTTAGATCTTATAGCGAAGCAAATGGTATCACTTGACGACGGTACAGGTCAGAATATGAAGTTAATAATGTTAAGATCATATTAAGCGATTGGCGGTTACAAAAATCGTTAAAATATTGTTTCTTTTCATTAAAATAGTCAATTTTCGACAGACCATGTTATCTGAATCCCAGCTTGCAAGTAAGTATTATTCTCATGGCCTAATATGCAAAAACAATCCACGATTAAATTCTCCGGGACAACCTAACGCTAAGATTAAGGAGGGGGTGAGATCATTTGTTATCATTCTGAGATTTGATTTACTAATGTATTGGTAGATGTGTCAGTATATTAACAATCGCTGTCATACAATTTCTTTATTCTTGTAGAAGACTATAGGCATAACTGACATAGAATCGATAAATCGCCTAGATGATTCAAATGCAATTTTCATTCCGTCTGTTGCTGAATTGACTACTCATCCGATTTACGGATACGTTTTATGGCAGGGATATCTATTGCAGTCATTATTGGTGAACACCGATGAAAGTAGCTTGACTCGTGATAAGCAAAATGCCATAAAGATATTTATTGAAAAAAGCTCGATGGCAGATTGGAAACTTCGTCGGAATTGGATATGTTACCTAAAAGGATATTTTAATGATTCTGCTATATTACATTACTTGAATTACGCCGAAAAGCTCTTAATTGATGTTTTCGAACATCCATATACACGGTGTCTTTACGACGAAATACCTGCCTTTCTTCCTTTTATACTCTCGGAGAAACATTTACCTAACGGCTTCTTTTCAAATATTGGCATCTCCAAAGAGGCAACAACTCAAATAGTTGCCCAGTGCTCATCTTCTTCAATTAATAAGAAAGCTATTCTTTTACAATTTATACAAAATCATGCCCAAGAATTATGTGACTTCCGACGTTGCTGGAATGTTCACAAAACTAATAATTCTTTACTGTCATCATCGAAGCTTGCAAAGGAGGGGAAAATATCAATAATCGATTTGCCTCATCCAGTAATTGCTCATATAGAACCTTTGTTTCGAAATTTCGATAAATGCTTTCTTAATACAATTTGTAATGAGTCCTGGACTATTTCAGATAATGCTGCAGAAGAACTGTTAGATTGCCTAAATTGGCGAGCTAGATTATATCAGGAGTGTAATTTGCCCCTTGAAAAGTTCAAGATTCAAACTTTATCGTTGTTATGGAAATGGTTCAAGTCTAAGTGTTTAAACAAGCTTTCCTTTACTTATAATGCAACGATCGAAGGTGAATTACAAGTTGTAGTAGAGAAATTAAACAGTTACCTTGATTACAGCACTACGAAATTATTCAAAACTGCCGGTCTGAAAATCTTTCATAAACCAATGGCTTATAAAAGTCAGAAGCATCTAGAATTAAATATGAAAATAGTTCATATTGATAGAAGCTTAAAAATTTATCGTTATGATATTCCTGTAGATTCATTGAAAATGATGAGATTGCTGGCGTTACAATTTAATTTGCGATCCGACTATTATTTTCGGCAACTGATATTAAATATTGCTGCGTCAGTGATGTTCGTTAAGAAAGAAAACATTAGTGACTGTTTGGTTGATAATCTTAATATATTATCAGCTATCAATAAAGTGGAAGAAACATTACAAAATGATAAAATTGGTAATTCTCTCCAATCTTTCGGTACTACGATTGACGAATCGAATGAATTAGAAATGAATTTAATAGACCTTTCAAGTACAATTAACTACTTTGGACCTGTGTTTGAAAAAAGTATCATTACTCACCGACAGCTTCTCCAAAATACTTTGATAGCCTGGCTTTATGACATAAATAGACAAGATGTTAACTGGCATGGTATTTTTAAGGAATTACGTCAACATGTAGAATTCGGTTTACGGTATACTATGCAATCACCCAAGTACTTCTCTCCGTTCCGACGTATAATGAATGAATTTGAATGTGAGGATAAGATTGACCTATTGGAGGTAACTACGCAACAATTATTATTTGATACTATGAACTCATATTGGGACTTCAGTGGTAGTGAGGGTGTCTTTAGATGGCAAAGCCTCTTATCTTTAACTGAAAATGATATAAAGAATGACTTGGGAGGACCGTGTGAATTATTTTACGGCAACATTATCACTGATAGTATGTTTGGATTAATCTCACAGGAAACTGCAATCAGTAATAAATATTACAATCTAGCCCAGATTGGTCAATTGAAGGAAAAAATTAAGCAATTAAATACTATAGCTTCATTTCTTTGGTGCAATTTCTCACAAATCTGTCACAGTTATAACAATATATGGAGTACAAATTATAATACTATATGTTTCATGACATCTAGAGTATTGTTAGCTTATCGAACAATTTTTGCCACTGAAATGCCAAGACTAGATGATCTGTGTAATAGCTTTATTACTGATTGCTTGTCAATACGGAAGGTCCAAGACATCAAATTTTTGGAGATGTTGAGTGCTGCAATTGCTGATACTGAAATAGAAAATTCTTCAGATATGGCATACCGCAGTAGCCTCCAATTGGTGAAGAATTTAGTACTAGGGTTACTGGAAGATTTACGCTTAGCAATGGAGAGTTATCTTAGCGATGATAGAGAGATTAAATCTGACCGTTGTATGCTGTTCTATTTGGGCTCAGCGTGGGTCAAACTTGGATTATTATTATCAATCTTTGCAGCACCTACAGATCCTGTTGATCCATTAATCAAACGTGCAACAAAGTTAAATTTTCTTAAAGAAGAATTAGAAGAAACTAAGTCTGAAATCAAAGTAAGACTACAAGCATATAATTTATTGGCCGGATTTCCCTACACTAGTGATAATGAACCAAGTTGTACTGAGATACCATATTATGTGTCACCTCATGAAGAAAATGTGATAAAAAGGCGTTGTTCTTTGCAAGAATCTATCAAGAAATTGGAAAATAAAACTGCTTTTAGGCCATCTTCACCTCAATATGATAAGTTAATATTAGATATTAACAATATTCGACAAAGCTTAACGTTACCTGCTAATATTGTTCAGCTGTTACAAAGTTTAAATGTAGAGAACTGCAAAGGAATACCTTCTGAACGTGATGAAACGTCGTTGGCCAAGGAAATTGCATGGCAAAGATCTATGTTAGGGGTTATAAATAATATACAGGCAAATTATCCTGCTTATGTTGATATTCATATGCCGTTTTCTATAGCATTGTCATTTATGCGTTTTGGAATGCGACTTTCAGCATCACCGACAATGAACATTCATCAAGTATCCCAATTCTTTAAATCAGATAATCAGGACAATTCTAATTTCTGGGATTTAAAATTAATTAGCGATAGCATTATACGAACATTAATTGTTTACCCAGCTGATGATAACGCTCGAACAATTACATACTTACTAGATTCAAACGTAAACTCTGTTTTTAAAAGTATCGTCGGAACAAGTACTCCACGTAAAAGTAATGAGCTGAAAGCGCAGCTATCAAATATTTTACTACTGTTAGCTTATAGTACTGTCATCGAACAAAGCTATTGTATCGCAGATGTCGATTTTGGACCGGTACTTTCAATTTTTGAGTGTTATTACGTAATGTGGAAAGACCATCAGATGAAAAAAGAATTAAAGGAAGATCAGCAACGTAGTATGTTTAAATATAAAATTCAAGAGCATATAACGGAAGATGAAGAGATTCATGACAATGAGGAAATTAGACTACTATTTCCTACATACAATAATGAATTTGAGGAGACTCAAGACAGTACGATGACGAAGGAAAGTACGCTATCGAAATTTGACTTTCAAGACGTTGATATTCAAGAGTTAACGAGCCTACACGGAGTAGTTTTCGGTATTTTATCAACATTGGAGAAGATAAGTGATCATAACGTACTCAAATATTCAGATAAAGTTTATAAAACATTATTTCAACGTAAATATGTGCTGGCTAGTTCGATCAAAAAATTATTAAAATTTGCTGTTAATGCTGATCTGGATTCATCTTGCATTCGTTCTCATATCCTGATGAGTAAGTTTTTACTGGATGAGGTAACAGACACAGATGTCGATTTAGCGGATAAAGATACAATTTTCTTACCAGGATATCGCGACTACATTTACGACTTCTACCAGGACCCTAACATTGGTGAAGCTCAAGAGTTACCGGCGGTTATGAAAAGTTTAATGTGCCGTTTAGATGAAATACTTATTGAATGGCCCGATCATCCCGTACTACATGAATTACAAACATCCATTCGACGTGTACTATCATTTTCAAGTAGTAGTCCGTTAATGAAATATCTAACTGGATTAGAATTTATCTTGAAGAAAGCACAGGATTGGGAGAGTTATGCTAGTAAAGCAGTTTCAATTCGTTGCCACTTGGATGAGGTTACAAAGTTAATTATTCGATGGAGAAGTATAGAATTAAAATCTTGGTCTAAGTTATTAGATTTAGTTCATCATAATTTTAAGAGTAGTGCAAACCGATGGTGGTTTCATATCTATGAATTATATATTCAATTTATTAAATCAGATAATGAGAGCAACAAGCTAAGTTGTTCTGAAATTGTCAAGACATTAAGCCAATTCGTTGAGAACAGTAATTTAGGGGAATTCACGGCTCGGTTAGATTTATTACGTTCATTTTATTGTCAATTAACTTACGAAAAGCACTCAGCGTTCAGAAACAGTACTAATATTTTTAGCACCAATATAGAACACTTACAGAGTATTCTGGGTAACATATATCAATATTATTTTCAATTTCTGCGTCTTGTTGAAGATAAGGTGAAATCAATGCGTTCACCAATTGATAAGGAGCTACAAGATTTCGTTAAAATATCGAAATGGAATGATTATAACTATTGGTCACTAAAGGAAGGAATATCACGCACACATCGTACGTTACATAAATATATTAAAAGATTTCGACAATGTTTATCGGAACCGGTTGGACCTCTATTAGTGTTTACCTCTCAATCATTTCATGTAAGCCCACCTTTAGAGATTTCAATTTTCTCCAGTGGAGCCGAATTTCAACCTTCAACTGACGGAGACTTGAAAGAGAATGAACGTAAGGTGGATTTGGCAACTTTTTTTGAGAGCACTTTAGTTCAAAATGTTTTTACTAACGATGCCGCTACAGCACAAACCAATGTGTTATCACGAATATCGTCAATGACTAGTAAATTTCGTGCAATTTCTGATACTGTAACTGGAACGAGAAACTATTCATCTCTTGTTTTAAAATTAAACGGTTTTTGTGAAGTTATCATTGAAACTATAAAAGAACTGCAAGATGATACAGCACGATTAGATACTAAAAAATTAGCTGATGTAAAGCTGTTAGGGTTACGTAAACGCCGTTCATTGGCCATGCTTTTCTTGAGCCTAAAGTCTATTGGTATGTCCTATCGTAAAGGTTTGCGATATGATAAAGATGGAATCCAAGAAAAAATATTTTTGTGTAAACCAATCGACGAGTACACTATTAAGCACTGGAATACTATATCCAGTAAAGAAGCAGCGGCTGCCTTCACCACTATTTGGAATAAATGCGAATCATATTTCTATAAAAGCTGCTCTCACTATTTTGCTTTAATAACTGCTCTAAATTCCCCTTCTGAAGATTTAACCTATAATGACGTAGAAAGATGTCATGGATTCGGATCAGAGATCCTTCGTAAAATCATCGTACAAAAGGGTAAGGTATCATTGCTAGCTGACGAATTATACGAACTAAATGTCATTAGAGAACGTATTGCTAGAATTAAGCCGAGGCATAAGATTACTGAAGGAATAGAACCATCCGATTTGCCTCCTCAGACGCAAAGCATAACATGGATTAACCGTATTAAAAGATTAACCAGAAATACTTTAAAGGGTTTACTAGAAATGCGACTACTTCTTGAATGCTGTCCGACAACCCGACTTGAACCATTACCAACGCCATGGCAAATAAACTATTTGCCTAATGTAAGTAAAGCAATCGCAGGTGATGTGCAAGTAATAGCTTTTATCCAAAAGATCAATATTGCAAGAAATGATTTGATAAGCGTTGCTGTCTCTACTAATAGCGGTAGAATAGATGATCACTCATACAATGATTATGTATCGTGGTTGCAAATTGATAGTGTAGCGAGGCTTTGTGAAAAGTTACAAATTGCAAGTGAAATTATTAGTGACTTAGAGGAAGCTTTTAAAGCAGAACAAGATTGGATTTACCAACCATCGAAATGTATCGAACCATTTATTCAGTTAAAGCTAGATATTGCTCAAACATGTCACGAGTTTTATACTTGGCAAATCAACATTAGTGCGGAAACAGCTTTAATCAATAGCGATTTAATGCAGAATTATTTACGAGAAGTTAATGCCGCAATCACACATACGCTTTATGTTGCTCAAATATTGTTGCAATCTACTGACATCCAAGGCATCGGAGAGCAGGTTAAATCTAAAGCAGCTTCGCAAGATGAAGATGACGGAGAATTCGAGAAAATGCAACCGGAACTATTGTCTGCTACGGAGAGTAACGTACTGGATATCTTAGATAAATTGCGCATACCAAAGATTATTAAGAGCTACAATAGCAGCATAAGGTTATTATCACAATTACATGACGAGTTTTATGACGCTCCTGGCCAAAAATTATTAATATGCTGTTGTAATGTAATGATGACTATTAAACCGCTGATTTTTAATTACGTTTTACTGGTCGAATTCTATTTCCATCAATACTTATTATTGCATCGGACATCTTGCAAATTATCACACATACTTATGAATACTTTCGTCGAGCTTATGGCAAAGGTATTTACATATCAAATAATGAATTTACGGAAAGACTTTTGTATTTGATAAATCAAATTCCTATCTATTTGTAGGGATTTTGTCAACCACAGGAATCTGATAGTAAAGTGGGTGGAGATAGTTTAACTGAATTCGTAGATCAAGAAAGCGGTGGTGTAGGTGAAGGTGAAGGTAGTAAAGACGTATCGGATATGATTGAGAATGAGGATCAGGTAATATTTACTGTACAGCATAAAAGGTATAATAAATACCATTTCATAAATTTAATAAGAAAAATATGACAGCATAATTTATCATAGTTATTAGATGCAAGGCAAGATGGCGAGAGTCAACAATCAAAAAACGACGAACAAAAGGATCTAAAAGCAGAAGATAATGCCATAGAAATGTCCGAGGATTTTGACGGTCATATGCAAGATGCAGCTAGACAGGAAAATGACGATAGTGAAAATGAAAGTGAATCAGATGTTGATGAAAATGAACTTGATAAGCAAATGGGAGAAGTTGATGATAATGATAATGAAGAGATTCTTGATGAAAAGTTATGGGGAAGTGATAGCGATGATGAAGGAGAAGAGATTAAAGAGTCCGATCAATACGGAGGGTCTGGAGCTCAAGAAGATGTTGAAATTGTTGCCAAAGAAAACCGAGAAGCGAATGATGGAAAGTCGGGCGAGGAGTTAGATAATGCAGCCGATAATGAAGATGATGAATCTGGCTCAGAAAACAACTCTGGTTCACCTCCATCTCCAAATGCTGATGAAAATGAAAAGGCAGATCATGATCAGGATCATATACGTGATGACGTGAAAGACAGTTCTGAATTCGAAATTCCAGATGAGCTTTCATTAGATGATGATATTAGAAGTTCGAATAGCGATAAAATGGAAGATGACTTAGGGGAAAGTGGTACGGAAAATGAAAGCAGCAATGGCAGTGGCGACGATGACGAAGATATAATGGATAAAACTGCAACTGATGACGACAATGGAAAGGATTATGAACAATTATCTGATATGTTGCCAGAAGAATCACAAATAAACGATGATGAAACACAGGAATCTAACTCTAGAATGAATACAACTAACGTATTTTGCGCCGACAATCAGTATTCTACTGAGGAAAGGTCTGTCAATGCTGCGCAAAATATAGAGAATAATACCCCAAATACTAATGATGATACAGCTGATATTAATGATGGTTTAGCCAGTGGAAATGCTAAATATGGCCATTCAGGTCAATCGAACTTTGTGGAACATGTAGAAGATGAAATTAAAACTGAAAAACGCCCTTTCAATGAACTCCGTGAATCTAATTTACAACGAAAATTGGCACAAGATAACGAGATGCCGTTTAAGCGACGCAAAGCAGTAAATAGTTCTGCGGTTGAATCTGAACAACCTGTCGATAACGAAGGGCGAAATAGCAATTATTTTCAACACTTGCGACCAGACGAAGAAAGTAGCAGTAAAGATACAGCCATAGATGCTGCAACATCGGAACAGTTGACGCAAAATCAGGATAATTATGATCAAGCTAATTTTGAAGAAGATCTAGCAGAAAATCAAAATTTAGTTGAAGCTATGGATACTGAAGTTCAAGATACTACTAGCAAGGTGCAGAATGTAGACGCGAAATCACAAAGAGGTGAATTAAAAGATTTACCGAAAACTGAGCAACAGCAATCTGAGCAAGAAAATTCTAGTGGCAACCCAATGGAAGAGATAGAAATCTGCAATAAGGCTCAAAACTCATACCACATGACGTCATTAAGTCGCCTCCAGGACTCAACAGAGGCAGCTTTAAGAATGGATTTTGAAACGTTTGAAGATATTCGACACCAACTTGAGCAGCAATTACAAGGGCTATTTTTACCAACTGGTGATAGTGAAGCTGAGGATGATATCAGTGCACAGCAAATGTGGCAGCATTACTGCCAATTAACAGCTCCTTTATCCCGAGAATTATGCGAACAGCTTCGGCTTGTATTGGAACCTACGCTAGCTAATAAATTGAAGGGAGATTACCGTACAGGTAAACGATTAAATATTCGAAAAGTGATACCCTATATAGCTAGCAATTATCGAAAGGATAAGATTTGGCTCCGTAGATCGAAGAAAAGCAAGCGACAGTACCAGATTGTTTTAGCCATAGACGATTCATCTAGTATGAATGACAATCACTCAAAACAACTTGCATTCGAGTCTTTATCGGTTATTAGTAACGCTTTAGTATGGTTGGAAGCAGGAGAGTTAGCTATTATGAACTTTGGCGAAGAGGTGAAACTCTTACATCCATTTCATCAACCATTTAATGATGAAATTGGAGGGAAAATCATAAAACAGTTCAGCTTTAGTCAAAAGAAGACTCGAATCTCGCAGGTAAATCATTCGTATAAAAAATACTCTGTTAAATTTGATAACATGACACCAAACTCCTAGAATTTATGTTATCATTAATTCTTTTTTACAGCTGTTGCAAAGTAGTGCAGCAATATTAACATCCGGAAAGACTACCAAAAGATATATGACAGCAACTAATCAAGTTGATATCAATCAGCTATTGATAATTATCTCAGATGGTCGAGGGCTTTTTGTTGAAGGAACTGAGGTTGGTAAAATATTATCGATAAAGTGGTAATACGTACACTTGAACTTATCACTGGACACTATCTGGTCTTTTTTTAGATTGTCTTAAAATCAGTCCGTGCAGCCATTGAAGCTGGCACTTTTATTGTTTTCGTGATCTTGGATAACCCTAAAACTAAGGTGTGTGATGATGAACTTAAAAGTTTGAAACCTTTTAGACACTGTTATCCATTATTAATACCATATCTCTTGTGTGCTTTCCTATATGCATATAAACAGGATTCAATTATTGACATTCGGATGCCGGTATTTAATGCTTTAGGCCAGGTAAATGTTGTTATTATAAAATTCTATACTAATTGCATGTCATTAATGTAATAATTTTTTTCCTTAGATTGAACGTTTTAAAACTTATATGGATGAATTTCCTTTCCCATATTACATTGTTCTAAGAGACATTAATTCGTTGCCTCAGGTCTTGGCAAGCGCTCTAAGACAGTGGTTTGAAATGATAAATTCTAGTAATTAAATTGACTAACAACTAAAATTGCTCAAAGTGGCTGAATTTCTTGCTATCTGTGCAAAAATGTTTTAATGTGTAGGTTCTACCATGACCGGACATGTACAATACTGTATAAACTGAGATTTTTTACTGTACAGGCTCAGATAACCTTACAGTGTTATAATTTTGATATTAAAGTGAACTTTCTACATGTGAATATGTCGATAGATACCGAGATACTCTACGTAAGAGCTTCTAAATTATTATTTGTATGGCTTTTGTACAATTTATCGCTGGCGTATAAGGAGAAGAATCGCAACAATTTTTTACCAAAAAGTCTTTATTTATGTAATGATATAACGACTTGTCGTAACTGATTGTTTAAAAAGGAATCAACAGAAATCATTGACTCTAGTTAATATAATTTCAACAGACAACCAGTTTTTTACACAAAGTTACTATCGTATGATTACATGCTAATGTTATATTTAACACTATAAGGTTACCTACAAAAAATATGCTAATTTTAATTGTATAATACATCCTTGTCATTATACAATTAAAACGGGATTTTTCATGGTATTAATAAAGAAAATGACATATAATTATGAAACCAAAATTTTAGTATTACTGTTTGTCAATTCTGGTGTATTTTAACGGATGGTACACTGAGAAGAAAATTTGAGAAAATTTCGGAGATTGAAAAAGGTTCAATATTTGTAATAAACAGATCCTACAAGAAGTACTATAGAGTACAAATGGGATAGACCGCATTATAATTAAATGAATAATACTGGAATCGACTTGAATCAAACATAGCAAGTGTTCGTTTGTTGCGAAAAGATGGTTTCCTTTTAATATGCTACAGTCGCTATTACAGTTACTATATATTGTAGAAGTTAGTGCAGCTCTTCAACGGACATAATTCTTGATTGAGAATTTTTGTTCTAGTATAAACTAAACAAGCGATCAGTAGTTAAAATATGGTCAGAAATAATTTTGATCTTCAATTGTTTCTTTTCCAGTTAATAATTAATCTACCATTGTATGCATGATTCTAGAACGTTGTAAAGATGATTTACATACGTGAATATCGGAGTTACCTGGACTGTAAACTGCGAGTTGCATGTAGAGAACTTCCGCGATCGGTATAATACACGGCTGGCGAATATCGTCCGGATTGTTTCAGACTATCGCCCTAAAATGCCATTCAATTCAATATATTAAAGAAGATAAATTCAAAATCTTCAAAGTCTACTGTTACCACACGAAAGAACGTATCCATTTGCATGTTGTTTGCCTAGTAGATAAACCCAGCTTAAAGATTTACCTTGTAACGAGGTGAAGTTTGAAGGTCATATTGACTGGATCTGAAATTGTCATAAGTTGGGGATTTTCTACCATAAACTGAAACAAATTAGAAGTATGTTTTGTTATTACCAATATCAAATCGAACAATAACTCACATGAGAATAGGCATAATCATAACTATGGGTGATAGGTATATTTTAATAACTTGTAGTCAATACTTGTAATTTCTAATGGTACAGTCGTTCAACTTTAATTGAACGAGAGTAAAGTCATACAGTATATCCTATGGGCTAATTCTATGCTATGCCGTACGAGATAAAAGTTGATTCTTGATCGGATGACGTTAAGAGAAACTATGTCGTTTAATTTCAAAGATATAAAATTTTCAATTCCGTCATACCAAGTCTTACCTGCATCAGATATTTTCCTTACTACTTTAGACATTTCAGTACCGGTTGCATTAATAGAAGACATTAATGCACTATTTTCAGGTGAGGCAGCAGGATCGAATTCATCTTGTATCATGGATAAAAAACAAAATTTTTCAGTATCAATTTGGCTAGAAAATTATGTCATATGTCGATATGGTCTATATAGATTTATATAAGTAGACAGCAATCTTGACGTGGTTGGACTGTATTCTAAGTTGTAAGTTGATATGGATTGTTAACTAAAAAATCTTTTACTATCTAATGATAAAAGTTTGCTACTGTAACGATCAAATTAATCTATTTGGCCAGTATGTATCAACTAAAATAATCGTTCTTATATCATCAACATTATCGTTTAAGTCAAAGTAAATAATTCACAGTAACACATAATGCAGTGCCTCCTCTTGTAGAAACGAGATAGTTACAAGCAGTCATATATTGGCCAAATCTGGCTAATTTATAATGTAAGAAGTAAAGCAAATAAAAATCCACTGTATTTCTTCCAATTTCAATATCATGGTTTTATAAGACTATAATCTTACAAATAGCATGAAAATGATCTGTATAGCATCAAATAAAACTGGTAATGAAGGATAAAGCATTCATATTTACCTGTACTTTCTACAGTAAATGAATTTAGCTGACTCAAGATATTGTTTAATTCGTCCGATGATGCAAGCCCATTTTGTGGAACTTTTTCATAGTCAGCTGTATATTGATTAAAATAATCCATTTCTGATCTGCTATCCATACTTTGTAAGACATTCTGACCCATGACATGATCGTGATTGGAAGAGTTTGATTCAGAATAGCGTCTATAATCGTAATGATGCCCATTGGTGGCGGGTGCAGATTTAGTAGGTTGCAATCGATCACGCGTTGACGACGAAGTGAAATGATTGCCAACTCGACTTTGTAAAATAATTGGTGGAGATGATGCTGATGGTAGGATAGATGGAGTTACAGTAGGAATAGGTGATGTTCCATTAGTTCTTGATATTTCTTCTGGTCGATTTCGTAAAATATGTGATGGTGGAGATGATGATCTGATCGCTGAATGAGAATAAGTATGGATTGGCGATGCCCCATTTGTTCTTGGTTGTTGATCTAGGCGACTTTGTGATATAGCTGGTTGCGATAATGCAGAATGAGACAATGTAGTAATTGGCGATACTCCACTCGCTCTAGGCTGATGCAATGATGACGCAAAAGCATCATGAGAGAATCTTGCAACTGGTGATGCATCACTTTCTCTAGGTTGATTAGATGATGATGATGCAAAAGCAGAATGAGTTAACATCGGATTTGGTGAAGCTTCACTCGTTTTAGGTTGCTGATCAGATCTATTTCGCAGCAGACGTAGTGGCGATGTCGATGTTGCCAATGCAGAATTACTATATCCCATAACGGGTGATGGACTACTCGTTCTAGGTTGTTGTGATGCTATTGAATTAGTATACGTAGGAACCGGTGATGCTCCATTAGTTCTTCCTTGATGTGCAGATCGATCTTGTAAGAAACGAGATGAATTAGGTGACGCGGAATTGTTTGCAAAAGGAGACATTCCACTTGTTTTTGATGGGTCAGCTCGACTTTTTAATAGGAAAGTAGGTCTTGATGACGACTGTGCTGTAGACGAGGTTAATGTTGAAACAGGAGAAATTTCGCTGGTCTTTGGCCGTGAAAATGACCTAGTCGGTAAGGTAAATGAAGTTATGGGTGATGTTTCACTTGCCTTAGGTCGGTATTGTCCATTAGAGATATTGCCATTTGATTGAAGATGATCTCCATTTATTTGATCATGATTTTCTTGATCTGATGGTAGTGTCTCAATATCGTTGAGGTTAGTTTGACTTGGTGTTCCATCAACGGCAAACGTAGTAGCCTAAATGAAATATGAAAATAACCTTGGAGTTAGGAAGTAACATTAATTTTACATACTTTGTATAATAGGTTAATTATCAATTCATCAAGAAGGAATTATAGAAATTAAGACTGAAATTAAGAAATATAGTATCCATTAGCACTTGTATATGTTTACATCATACTAATTTTTGCGTAATTTTAATATTTTAGTTAGGAAATAAATTTAATTTTAATATTTCTTAGAACAGTTTAATCAATTACTTAATAAGCAATTGCAGAAATTAAGGCTGAAATTAAGAGATACAGTACCAGTATCCGTTAATCTCTATATGCTTTCATCGTACTAAGTTTTGTATAGCTTATGTTTATAATTATATAATGATATGATATGATGTAGTGATATGAGTAAATCGATGATCAGAGAAATATATTATCAAATAGACTACTGTATATGTTATAATAGCAATTCTTTAAAAGTTTACGTTATTAGATATTATGTTTAAGTGAATTGATGATCATAGCAATGAAGTATCGTCCGAATTAGTCATAAATGCGTACATTATAATAGTAATCATGTTCTTACATAGTTTTTGTCATTATATTATATTTGTAAACTGATGGTCATTAATCATGATTGTAGAAATCAATCAATAAAATATCATTGCTATTCTTCACTAACCTTCAAGCGTTGTCGTAGGCGTTCTATTTGGATTTCTAACTCCTTGTTTCGCTCCATGATTATCTCTTTCGTTGCTTGTAATTTGTCCTCACGGTCTTTCAAAGAATTTACCATTTCGACACCTTGATTGATATCATGATCGAATATTGTTTTATATTTATCATGGATAGATGAAATGGATTGAGCAGCTAAAGAACGATTATCATCATCATTATCGTCTGGATTTGGGTTAGGTTGACGAATAACATTTTCCATTTCTTGTTGATGCTGAAGATGGATTTGTTGGCGTTCAGTCAATTCTCGTGCTAAATTTCTATATTGAAATTGTGGAATATAGATTTAAGAAATCAATAAATTCTAACATGTAAAAGCCAACTTAGGTATTTCTATAACTTAAAATTATTAAGAGAAAGTTTTAACAGCAGTTCATACAATTTTATTTTCCTTCTAACAGAATTAGGAGTTTCTCGTTCAGTTCCTGACTCTGAAGCCTATGTCAATATTAGAGTGATTCTAAGTGTTATTTCATCACTTGAATAACAATAATGCATAGTAGCATAATATATAATCTTAGCGTATTGTAGATATGGTAGAACTAAAGTTACTTTAAAATTATTTCGGTCATATGGCTTCGTTACTATGGACGACCATATTAGCGATCAAGAGACGTTGTTCAAGAAAGTAATTTAACTCAAGTCATTACCTCAGATGTCTGCCCACCAGAACTGCCCAGATGAGCGCTTAATTGAGCTATGATTTGATGTTCTTCCGTCCTGAATAGAATTCAAATAGTTAAAATTGAATTAAAGTTTAATTAAAGTAATTATTACAAAGTTGAATCGAATAAACTAACAACGTGTAACTCTTCGAAGTAACGACTGAATAAATTGACATTAGAATAAAATTAAACAACTACTAAAAATGCAAAAAAATTTTCAGCAGTTCATTAACTTATTCCAATTCATGACTGATTACATCTGATAATTACATTTATAATAAACTTTATATGCAATTATTCGGACTACTTACGCATTCGATTTTATTTTATTTGTAATATTTTGACAATTATCGCTAACAGGGACTAAATCCTCTTCAGGTGGAACCGATGCTTGTGATTTGTTTTCATCTTCATGAATACTTCCAACGACTGCTCGGCTTCCTCTACTCATTATCATCATTACAAGTAAAAAATCGAAAGAAAAAATTTACAAATGCATATCGACCAACGTAAATAAAAGGCAATAACTGTTTCTTTTATACCTTGTCGATGCTATAGTACTTGCTTTTTCAGAAATATTATCAGATATATCATTAGTACGCTCTTGCAATTGCCGAGATTGCTCTGATATTTGACGTTGTAAATCACCTTGGCTGGCTAGTTCATCATCACGAAAAATTATTTGAGTAGAATTGTCTACATGATCAGCTTGTGAAATATTTTCATCTCCATTCGAGGCTAGTTGGCTTGTATTAACAATATTCTGATCTTCAGGATTCATTGATGATAAGGTTGCCTTTGAGTCATTACCTGGAGCGTGAATGTCGCTCTCTGTATTCTCGTCATCAGGTAGCATATTCAAATTCGACGCTGGTGTTTCGCTTCTATAATGAGCCATCGAAAATTTTTCGATTTAGTTGACTAATGATCGTTACCGTTATTATCTTCTATCCTAACTTTAATTTCAATTCCATAATTAATCAATATTCATGCTTCATTATCGTATTAGCAATCGCTATTAATCTTAAACAGCTACATCTCATGAATAGTATTAGTCATGTCACAACCTTAACTATCAACGTTATCAATATTAGCTGCTATATAATTGGTTCTAAGAAATTGCAAGTAATATTAAATAGCAAGTTAGTAGTGATTAACTTACATTGCTATGAAACTAGAATCGATAATAGCAGTTTCTCTTTCCTCTGCTTCTTCAGTCTCATTACCATCCCTATTCGCATCATTTTGACTAAAAGTACTATTCTGAGATTGATCAGGTGGATTAGTAGACTGATTCTGACTTGATTCTTCCTGATCATTTTGTGGTTCGGTTTCCTCTAGTATGGAAGATGAATTTTCAATACAAATATAGCGTGGTTTTGCGGCTTTCCTTTTGTATCTTTTCGTTACTTTATTACGAAAGGTTCTAGCGAAATCTTTCACTCCTTCCTTAGAAGTTGTCTAGTAATTGAAGAACATGATGCATCAATGTAATTAGCTACTTGCCGCCAGTTTACTTATGAGTAAATATATAATCAATTATAATCAATTTTAGACGTGGATGAGCGTATAAATTTAGCTGTAGTTTTAAATATAAAGTATCTTATTTATCGCTAATAGAGCCACTATTTTTCCTATCAGTAAAACATATGATTAATTTTAGACGTGAATGAGTGCAATAGCATGGCAAGTTTAGCTATGTATTTCACTTAAAGTTTTATGTATATCAGTGGCTACTTTTATTGTTTAAAAGATAATGAACAAATGATAAAGTTGCTCGTTAGTCACAACTAATTCCGTAGGGGATTGCATAACTTACCGCTACACAATATTCTTGAGTTGGATCGCCTGCTTTATGGTGTTTACCAGATTTACCAGATAAAAAACAGTTCTACATATAAGACAAACACGGAATAAATAGAAATAGCGCAGTATTTAAAGATCGCGAGACAAGCAAGTAAAGTGTAGACGAAAGCGTTAACAAAAATCATCATCAAAATACTATTTTAAATCCATTTCTAAAAACGTTAGTATGTAAAGTATAGTTACAAACCTGGCAGATGTCAAAATTAAACTTTTTCAAGCTTTTAAATCTAATATTGGAAATGAATTCAATCTTATAAGATTGCATACTTAATGTCTAGGTTACTATGCGACCTAAAATTTATTTTTATATTTATTTTCATGCCTATTTTCTAACTAAAACCAATATTTATGAAATTACCGTAATCCAACAATTGGCGTCTTTTTACAGATTCCACATTTAACATCATGAACAACTATGGATATTAAAATAATTATCGCAGAAAGTTAAATTATGAACTGAACATAATATGAAAGGCATATGTTGGAGATAATGAGCTAAGAAAGAGAATTGAATTGTTTTTTTACCATTTTCAGCCGCAATGACTCTTTCCATTGTCGATAGCCAGACAATTGTTTGTGGTTCTTCTAGAACCCATTGCGTAAATTCCTCTTCTTCTAATCTATCTGGTCCATTTTTCTAAATATATATTAGTGTCAGTAAAGGTACTGCAGCCGTGATAAGAACGAATAGTAAAGTAATATATATTTAGGGTAGTTTCAAGGAAAACTAGTAAAATTCCAAAGTATTTTATATCAGCTGATGTATAGGTAGAGATCAGTCATTATATTTAAACAGAGGAAGAGTCGTAAGGAACAGTGTTTTAGAATTATACTGAAAAGTAAAACTATAGGCCACATTTCACGCCCATCTCTAAATGAAACTGTTCATGCTTTATGAACGAGCTAATTCAGGCATGTAATAGAGGTATGTAGACTACTCTTTCACTGTTACGAAACGAGTAAATATTGTATGTAAATATCGATATATATTGATGATAACTTATTACCGATGGATGAGCAGCTTTATCATAGCAGTTTTTGACAGCATTCTGTATACTGTGGATACCACCAAAAGACGGATCTTCCTTAATATAGCTGACAATCTAACGATGAAAGTTTTGTATCAGTATTCATAGACTAGTTAACAATAAGATGTTAGAAAACATGACTTAGCGACAATACAGTTATATGCCACATGTCTACATCGCAATAAACTATATAGTGACGAATATGTCTGCTTTATTTCTATTTAATGTAGACATACTATTATTAATTAATTATAATAACTGCTTTAAAATTCACATATCAAATAAATTAAAATACTGCAAAGAGTTTTATATGTATTTCTAGGTAGTTAATATAACATATAAAGATATTGTTACTTTACTAGAATAAAGATGCTCGTATATACGGCACTACAAATCTACCAAAAATATTATGATGGATACGTGTCTATTTTTTATGTAACACAGATGTGACGTTAATTTTCGCAGCAGTAACTACCTAATTTGTAAGCTATAGATCAAGAATGCATTTAATAATCACAGTATCATGAAGATATTACGCAATTAATAGAAAGCTTAAGATATTTTGCCTCTGATCTGCTACAGATACACGACACAAACACCAAATCATCCAGTCATACAAATGTAGTATTATATAAGTATAGCGATAAAAACGAAATGATTTGAAGGTTTTAGTAGGTCTACGCATTTATAACGAAAGTTACTTAGAATATAAACGATATAAAATCAAACTGAAGCTCTATTAACCTGCATTAATTGACTTAGGAGGGATTCTAAACCTTCAGCATTAGCAAATTTACCCCGGTTGGCTATCAGCTTGAATAGAACTAGATTAGAATTGATTTAAGGGTAGATTTACACACTTAGTAAAATTGTTCTTGAATATAGTAATGAGTTTAAGAAAACTTCAACTTACATTGATATTTATCCCGTAAGTAGCCTTTGCACATGACGGTTAAAAAGATTTTAATCGCTGTTAATTTTAATTTACCACTACGATCACTACATTAAAAAACGAAAAAGCGACGGTCATGAGACGTTTTAATGTTAGTTTATATCCATTACAGATAGATATTGCTAATGGCAATAAATAATAGCGATAAAAATACTAAATTCATATCTGGTTTTTCAGTACTATATACTAGTTACTTGACAATGTTATAAAATTATGGCCTATCGCTACTTATAATTCGTACTGGTAAAAGTAGTAATGATCATTTATTTGCTAGTCATGTATTACTCCGATACATTATTGTGCAGAATGATGAATAATAATTCTGAAGTTTTAAACCTTCATCTAAAATTAGATCTTGTTTTAATAGTATGCTTATGCTTTTAACACATATAGCTTATAATAATGAAGTGGTTACGGCAACGTAACTACTGAAAATATAACTAATTGTTAGCCAAATTTTGTATCTACTAATGATTAAATAGTTAAAATTTATTTTCTATTCTGCGAATGTTAGAAACTTAACCTTTAGCATGAAGGAGACAGGCCTAAAAATTTTGACTTACCGATCGAAAATATTAAGTGCAAAATTTAAGGCTAAATCTGTGCTTAATAACGGATTTGCAAGTTCTATGTCGTTGGCCAACGTCGGCTGGCTAAATAGCTTTACCAAGATATTTTCTAAATCTAATACATTCATATCTTGGACTTCATCGTCATCACTTGATTGCTGAGTACCATAGCCCAACTGATCAAAAACGCTTAATAATCTTAAGAATTCCACCTTGTCAACTAGAATAGAGATTAAATAGAGAAGTTGAAAATAATGGGACGCAAAGGAGATACCGGTATATAATTCTTGTTTTAATAATTCAATATTGAAATTTATATAGAGTGGTTAACTTACATTCACATCTTTGCTGAATAATGCGCATTTTAATGGCCGTTCTATATGCAGCAAACTTGATATAATTCAATTGATCTGAAAATTATCAAGAAGAAAACCGTATACTTAAACTAAAATATGGATGATTCATAACATGGTACAGTATATTGACATTCTACTAAGCTTAACACCTTAACTACTTGAAGCTGCAGTGATATTTTACCAGTTTACACGAGTAATTTCATTTGAAGCTATTTTATAAGATCATGTTCTCTAATTATTTCAATTTTATACGCATTAAATCGTTGCGACTAAGACTTATTTCTTTATTCTCACTAGGATTAAAATTATTCAATACGCAAGCAAATATTTTTGGATAATGTGCGGTTAGGATACGAGTTGTTAATTGAAGATTAATCTTAAACACAATTATTAACATACCAATTTCTCGTAGGATATCCGTTGTAGTCGGATGATCCCATTGCGTTCGACACGTTTTGTGACTATTTAAGATAATCATATCAGATATTTAAAACAAATTATAAGAAATGTTGATAAAAAAATTGATTATGATACGGTATATGTTGGTTTGATGATATAATACAAATTACAAATTACAACTTACGCTAATTTAAGGCGAGGATATCGGATATTAATCAATTATTTATGCATAGTACAGATAATACAGTTGAACTAACATCATAAATGCTAGTCTTATAATTTTATACGAACATCTACGGTACTTAGTCTTATTTAACTTAATGATAGAGGATTAAATAGTGAAATAATCCTACTAAAATATTAAACTGATACTTTTACAAGATGTATTACTCACTCGACATAATATGGAATACCGGTATCAGTTTCTGATCGTTCCCAATCATCTGGCAAGTCACCTAAAGTGGAATCAATAAATTAGGTCTTGCGAAATAATCATAAATTATTTTGAAAGTAATTGCTGCATCTTTAGCAGTTACAAAATAGTATGTAGCTTTAGCTCTATTGAAAGTGGAATACGTTATTATTTTATTCATCTACAGTTCTACACCCCAATCAATGTTGTTAATTATAGGCTACGGTATGTCTAACTCAGTTCCCTATGCTTTGCTTTCCTTAGCTTTACCTCCATTACGTAAGTTAAATCTTAGCCCATCTTTACACTGAATCAATTTGTGTCTTAAATATCTTAAACTTGATGAAAAACTTTAGTATTTTTTCTTTAACTAAGATCAATCTATACCAAAAGTATTAGTGTAGCATGATAAGCACTGTATTTTAAACTTTTGCTAGACTACTTAAGGTACACTAGTTAAGTTTATCAAAACTTAAAAATCATGTACGCTCGGTACAGTAACTATAAGATCATAACTAAAATTTCTGTAGATTGATTTCTTTTGACAGTAGCTCAAGTAATTCGGAAAAACTTGCTATCAATGTTTGACTATTTGACTATTGATTTTTGGATAGTGCCAATATCGCTTTAATTACCAGCACCAAGAAAGCTTAATCGTTAATTTTTCACTTTATCTGCCTAAAAACTTGCTTTAATTATCCCTTGAATCCCTGTAAGAAGGGGCTTTAACAGGTAATATCGTCATCGTTTAGTCGATGAACTTAATGAAAACCTAAAGTATACCGCAAAACCATAAAATGTTTTCGGGTTGATATTATTGCAGCAAACTTTACATGATCATAAATATAGCAAATGCATATATGAAAAAGAACCTTTCAATGTTTAGTATTCCGATCAATAGATACTACATCCGAATAAATTCAGAAATCTTTCATTACAGCATTTGAATAAGTATTGGTAGCACGTTTAACCCATCAAATCAGTACTGAAGAACAGGCGTCAAAAGTTAAAATTTTTGATAAAAGTCACCAGTAACTGTGGCTCGATGACGATTGCTTTAAAGGTATATGTATCATCGATCTACTATGAAAAATAGCTCTATTAGGCTATAACTATTTGATATAGAGACTAGCCCAAAAATTCGAACAAATAAGCTATGATTACCATCGCAGTTACTCATGCTAATAATTGTGATCGAAATGGTATTCTTCAACTGAAGCAGTAGCTACCAAGAACGAAGTAATTTATGAGGATGATCACGAATGCTACACACTATGAAATTGAAGACGCACTACAATCTTTCTAAGTGAAATGAATGCAAAGCAATAGTTAACAATTGCAAAAGGAAACATCATTAAAGTAGGTCACATATTATCTGCTATGGCCCTTTTTCTATACTGTATATGCGTATATTCAGATCTAATAACTAATAAATGTAATCAATAATAGCACAATGAGTACTGTTATCAAGATATCTCCAGTTAAGTAAGGTCTTTATCGCTCTTAGTAATCTAAGGATGATCAAGGGATAAATAAAAACTGTTTGGTTGATGTTCAGTATATAACACTGTGAGTCTTAAAAGTAAAATGTGTCAAATGATCTTAACCATTTAAAGTTTATATGAGATTTTTCCTGTCATACGAGTATTTAGCATTCTATGTATCTCCTGAACTGCTGCTACTTTCTTACTGTAACCAACAATGTTTATATAGATTGACATCGATGATTTTAATTTTTATAGACCGTAACTGATAATACAGGTGTGTATGATGGCATAATATTGGCTGATTATGATTCATTATAGTAACTATCATCAATACATGGGTTTAATGTCATTGCTATGATGATCATGAATGCCGTTATTATCGTAATTGAAATCATTTCAGGATAGAATAACATGCTATTCATATTGATAATCATTTTAATGGCATTTTTTAAAACACTATCATTAAAATTTTGATAGAAGAGATTGAAGAACATTAGCCTTCGTTAAGCGGAAATAGTAACCAATGATTGCTGGATATTATCGTCATAGATTGAAATCATAAAAGCTGCAGGCGTCTACTTTTTTTTAAAACATTATAAAATAAAATGAATACAAGCTGAACAGTAAATACGAGACGATTTTGTTCCTTCTAACAAATTTCCTGATGTGTCTACTTGGACCCAATTCACATGGACTACCGCTATATAGTAATTAGCCTTAGTAACGTAGAGTATAGTCATTTATAGTTAAAAGTCGAACGTTTCAGTTAAGTATTTAAGGCCTTGGCTATTTAACAGTTTAAATCATCATTCCAAAATAGATTAGATTAATTACAAATGAGGAATTTGTATCATGGAATGATTTTATCGAGAAAGCTAAAGACGATCCCAAAAAAGTTATAACTACAAGAATATCAATCATCTTACTTTCAATTTCTGGCATGTTGATAGATGAATTTATAACGATGCCAAGTCCGTATAATATTATCCTAGCGGTTAGAAGGAATAATTAAAATAGAGCTTGGTAATAACACCTGGAATATTCGTAGGAAAATTAGGAGTTGTGTCAATTTAGCTAGAAACTCTTTCGATTATATTCACTTTAATGGCAAATTATTATCGTTATCGAATCAATCATCAACATTCAATTAACAGGAAGTTAAGTCAGTTATTTTCAAACTGCATCATCTCAATATAGGAGAATTATCCCCTCTAGAAATTTAAAAATTTGTAAATTACCGATGCTAAGCTCGCTATGTTGTTGTTGTTGTCGTCGACAAATTTAATGAGATGCCAGTAGTGCTGATCCAAGACTAAGTAGTAGCGTTATTGTATTATTATATAGTCAAAAGGCATTGTAAGTAGACCAGCAAATCATACCTCTATTAGATTGTTATCCAGAACTGAACATGGCCGAACCTTTTAGAATTATTTCAAATAGATTGTGAAAAAATCAGCTATAGCGTCGCGGTCTTCGCTATAGCAACACCATCGCGCGTGCGTAATGGCTGCGTGGGTGGATCACTTGGAATTGTCCAATTAATCGTTTATTCAATATGAACGATATTGATTTTTTTCCTTGGATTTTGGAAGAATAGAATCAATCGTATCGATCAGTTCAAAATTAATAGTAATGATCAAAACCTGTAAAGGTAGGAGAATCTATACGAGTATGTTGGATTCGCGCAAATCTGTACGTAAGTTAAAGAACGTAGAACAAACCAGTGTGCATGATTAGCAATTCTGCTGACATAAGGCTAATATGATTCGTTCTTCCTCATACTATTGCATTAATTGCGCCTTAAGCAGGTGCAATAGCTATATCGTATTTAGTATTGAGATCAAGGATATGGTAGCAATGCGTAACAAATACCAGTAATCCATAACATAATTCGACGGTGAATGTATATGTGCGTGTATGTTTTGATAAATAGGAATACTACATTCATAACTGAAGCCAATAAGAAAGAGTATTATGTTCCCAAATTAGAGTTCAGTCTTACTTATTTATTCTGTATCAGTAACTATAAGCACCTTTATATTTATAGTCCGCATATTGTAACATTACACTGCATAGGAAATGAGAACTATGTCGCATTAAAAAATACTAGAGAAGGTCTTTCTTGATTATCTAGTTAATCCTATATCGTAGAGTTAATATATCCATTCATAAATATAATTATTTGTTCCATTCATGGATTTAACTAACTTGGTGGAATTCTATGTTCTAAATTAATATTGTAACTAATTCATGTGATGTACTGAGCATCCTTTTCTCTATAAGAGTAAATGTCATGATACTTATGACCTCTTAGAAAGCAACGCTTAAATAAGATATGTATGTTGTATCTGTAAAGTTAGCTGATCAGATATGGTGTCATAGTCTCCTGTTATAATGACCTTTTGATGTGGCAAACTATCCTCCACTCCGTAAGATAGATGTCATAATTTTCATATTCCTTTGATAGATAGAAATGTGAATCAGGAGAAGGCCTATATTACAATAATGTTGCAGAAGAATGTAGTACTGAGTCATTTAGACAATTCTATGAACTACTGAAAATGAATGTGAATGTATATCTTAATCGAATATGGGCACTCTATCTATAAATCTAGCTAACGTGAAAGGGTGATCGTGTTCCAACACTATAACATGTTTGCAATTATTTAAGTATGTTGATAATTCTCTGCTAGAGCATTGTAGCTTTCATGTTAGTATAATGAACGCGATACGATAATTATGGCGTAATAAAGATACAGCGAAATGCTCTGCTAGATTATTTAAAATTTATAGCTACCGTATACCGCAAAGTGTAAAGCATCTTAGATAAATAGAATTTCTATGATATCTACAAATCTTTAGTAGCTAGATATAAGTACATCTTAATAAAGATGTACTAGAAGAGTATTATACTAATTCAATTTAAGTTGAGAAAGTGTCCCCTACATTAAATATTGTAATGTGTGTAATCTTAATGTTATAACTACTGCATAAATATCTATAAAGTTTTACGGTATTAATAATTTTATAGAAGTCACGACGATTATATTTTGATCAAACATCAATATTACATACGTAAATATTAATAATTTTAAAAGTATCACATTGCCATATTGTAATTGATTCGACACATCTTGATCAAACTAAAAACGTTACACTGTTTAATTTTGCTAATTATAT